TTCGAGAAGGATGAACGAAAGGTGTAACTGTCTGTGTCTGATTTAACCATTTCATGAAATGAAAAGTCTACTTCAGGTGAATTAATGAGCCAGGGTGGAATTTATATCGTTCCAAATGACTGAATTTGATTGACATCAATATTTATATTCTGTAAAAGAGCGGAAATTCTAATACCAACTGATGGAGTGGTTTGGTTTGTTTTGAAACAAGGTTTTATATTTTGGATGAAGCATACGTGAAAAACAGGATTTGTCTTTAGCCGAATGATGTATTGCAAAGCCAGTTTATTTCCACGGCTATATAGTGATGGTTCGTTACATAGATGCTTCAGATTATTGAATTAGCACACCGGTACCCTTAGTTATTAAAATAATAAGTCTTGGGAACTATTTTACAACGAGATTAACATCGCATTATTGTAAACAGTTTTCCATAAGATAATACAATTAATGAAGCTGAAAGGTTTACTAACATACAACTATCAGATTCTGTTTTTTAAGATAAATAATACATTGCATTTATAAACTTATTAACGGTTAGCTTCAATATGTATTGATATAATATAACATTGAATAAATAACTTATTGGAACACATGATTTAATTAGATGATCAGACCAGCACACGGAGACATTATATAAGTTTTACTTGACAATATATACGCCGTTAAGCACCAACGTAATCCGTCTACTGGTAGATTAGCTGCCATTTTGTTGACACGTGTGGTTGATTTACTACTCAATACATCAAACACTTATCGGCTACCTTTTTCCTGTTCAGATGACCCAAATGCCATGCAAAAACAACTTTATTCCTGAAGTAAACATAATGTATGTTTTGTTTTGATAGAATGGAAGCTTTTATAACACAACCTCTAGAAAATTACAGCGTGATGTTTCGAGGAATATACGGGCAACTTCATTAGACAAAAGACTAGTGTGGAGCGGACTACCACTGACGCACGTAGTGTACTGGTTGTTATATTCTATTGGTATTACCAACCCGAAGAAGGTTTTGCTTTAATGTTTTGTTTCCTTTAAAAATGTGTCATTTCCTACCAATGATTCGTATTCTAATGCACATTGCAAATTTATATTCAATAAAACCACGACAAAATATAATTTAAAGAAAGATTGAACGGGAGAATTTTTAAAAAGTAAGGAGTATCAAATACGTCTAGCTTCATATCGTACAGTGATATAATAATTACAGTAAAACTTCTCTATAAGTTTCAATCATTTATGAAATAAGTATATAATAATTATTACTTTATTATTGCAAAAACATGGTAACGACCAACTTTTAACATTTATTTTGGTTTGAATATTATCGACATGAAATATATATTATAATGACCATTCAGTCCTTGATTAAATACAACGTGTTAATATCATCATACTGCTTTCACATTATTTAAGGACACGTCATTGATGCTAAATTTTGAAATGTAGGAGTGATTGAAGAAAACCAAATCTGATCGTAAATATTACTATTATGATTATGATGATTGTCTAAATCTAGTTGGGATGGTGCACTAAACTGATATTTCAATTGATTTCTGATAACGACAAGCATATGCATATAGATGTGAATATTCTGAATCATGCCAATATTCGGATGAATGAAAACGTTGCATGCAGTTGATAGCAAATTTCTGGTGTTAAAATTCCCACCAAACGTGTTAATCATCATCAATATAGAAGATAATACAAAATGCACGCAAGGATCTGTCAATATAACTTAAGAATTGGATATAGTCGATGCAGATACTACAGATGTTTCGTCTTTCTGGACTCTTGAGTAATTTCCTAAATTAAGTTAACCTACATCGCTCTTAACGCTGTATTGCTGACATCTTGCACATATATTACTATTAATGTTGCTTGGTGATATTGCTCTACTTAATGTACATTAGCTTTCATATAATGTCTTAGTTTCACCATTTCCACCCGGTGTAGGTCTCTTACACACTGGCATAGCTGATCCATATCACCATCGACATCATAATGCCGCAAAGTGCAAACTCTGATTGATATGCGATACCGAAATTATCACCAGAAAGAGTATCGCGTGAACAATCCAGAAAGTACTCCCCATAAATAGTTACCATGGTTTGATTTAAAAAAAAAACCAAAAAAAACGATGAAACCCACCGAGGCGAGGTTACGGCAATATTTGCATGGAAAGCACGAAGTGTTCTGTTAATTGACTGTCGACATTATAGATGGACACTGAGATTCAAAGTGTTGAATTCATTTCCTCTATTCATGACAGAATTGCTTCAGTCTCTAAATAGGTTACAAGATTGCACTTTTAAAAATTTGACATTGATATCAATGATACTCGGTATGAATCAAACTCCATTGTGCTACTCCTAAACGCGTGTATGACGTCCGACGCAACATGTAAGAAGTATTTTTGAGGCAAAGCTTTTAGGCATATTATTTTTTTTTTCTGGAATACAAGAATACAACAATCTGATTAGAAGTCTTTAAATGTACATACATAGCATTGCTCTCAGGATAACTGGTCCCGTACGCACAACGTAACTGTATGAACAGACGAGTCGCTGACATCTCGAATAAGAAATCACTTTAAACGAGGTATTACTGTTGTAAAAAGTCAAACTATAAGTACCTAAAAAACGTTTTGCTAAGACTCTATAGAGCCCTTATTAGATCAAACCTAGACTACAGTTCCATTGTGTATGGATCTGCTATACTTTCATATCTAAAATTATTAGACACTATTCATCACCAATGTCTCAGACTCGCTCTCGTAGAGGCTAGCGAACCATCACTATATAGCCGTCGAAATAAACTGGCTTTGCAATACACCATTCAGCTAAAGTAAAATCCTGCTTTTCCCTTTGTATTTGATCCGAAATATAAAACCATGTTTCAAAAGAACCACAAACCATTTCATAATTTGGTATTCGAATTTCCGCTATTTTACAAAACACAAATATTGATATTGACCAAATTCAGTCATTTGGAACGATAGAAATTCCACTCTGGCTCATTAATTCACTTGAAGTTGACTTTTCACTTCATGAAATGGTTAAATCAGACACAGATACTTAACCTTTCGTTCATCCTTCTCGAAATTGCAGTTAAAATATGAAACGTTTCTACATTTATATACTAATGGTTCAAACGATAAGGTTGCTGCGGCCATGGTTACACAAGATGAAACCTATGGATGCCGACTACCGAACAACGCCTCAATATTCTCGGCGGAAGCGCGAGCTATCTATCTCGCCTGTGAATATAGTCAAACAAAGTAATGGGAACTGTTATCTATCCAAGCTCTCTTTCTATACTCCAGAGTCTTAGCAATAGAAATATCGAAAATATTTTCATTCCTAATACATTAATACTATATCATGAACTTTAACTTTCGTATTGCTTTTTGCTAGGTTCCTGGGCACATGGGCATACCAGGCATTGGAAAAGCAGATCGTGCCGCAAAAGAAGCTATATTGCTAACTCCTATTGTTTTTAAACTTCATTTTACCTATTTAAGACCATTTATTAAACAAACTTTAAAAGCTCAATGGCAGGAGGAATGTAATACATATACCAATAACAAATTGCATTCCATTAAACCTGTTATCGGTGAATGGTCTCCAGGCTATAGACACAAACACCGAGACGAAATTGTCCTTGCTAGTCTTCGAATAGGTCATACATACCTTACACATTTATGTATGTTGAAAGGCGAAGATAATAATTGGTGCATAGTGTTGTGTATTCTGTCAAAGTGGGTATGTACAAACGACACCAGACAGTGGCGGCCATTTCAGGAACTACCCTTTTTTATTGTCATCCCCTATTCATACGCTAGGATAGTGTAATACATAAAACGACATTCCGGATCTACACCCACATATATGTAACACTCCTCCCCTTTTAGTTCTGAAGACAGTTAATTTGAAAATTGAACAAATGTCACGTTCATTTTTTTTTTTTTTTTTTTTAATAAAAATGAATAAGGCAACTTTCACCACTGACCAGTCTTACATCTTCTTATTTCAGTCAGTCAAGATTATCACAACGGTTAAACTAAAAACAACTAGCTACTTGACTAGAAACAATAAATGAGAATTATGCTTACTGACTAGATTAACAAAGAAACTCGCGTAGAGCCCTGGGGCTCTGCAGATCACACAGGATTATTATGCCCGTACATACCATGATCTGACCCTACGAATCTAACCTAACAGGTGCTCTCCGATTAGTTCTCACGGGGTACCGATGTTCAACCCTTGTCATAGGTGACGCTTTCTTGCTTGAGTCCTTTGGGCTGTTTACTTTACCAACATCCTGGGGAACACTGGAGTTTGTCACGGTTGTAGGCTTGGCAATCACCATATCAGCCTCTACGGGATGCTCCACCAATGGGTTCCCGGATACATCCTTAGGGACCGACCCCAGAATTTGATCGGTGTGGCGTCTCCAGACCTGTCCTGGTGAGGTTTCCACTTTGTATGAAATGGGACATGTTCTTGCCTTTACAATTCCATGTGCCCATTTGGTATCTCCTCTGTAATCCCTTACTTGGACTTGGTCACCAACTTCAAAACGCCTAGTTTTACCCGGATTGCTGTCCTTACACATTCGAGCTTGCGCCTTTTCCACTCTCTCCTTCAAGTTAGGCCGTAGCAAGTCCAACCTTGTCCGTAAATTCCTACCCATGAATAGGTTTGCAGGTGTCTCTTCTGTAGTGGATTGGGGCGTGTTCCTATAGGACATCAGAAAACATTGTAGTTTCCTCTGTATCGACCCGTTATCCTTCAATGCTGACTTTAGTCCCTGTTTGAAAGTCTGAACAAACCTTTCCGCGAGTCCGTTCGTCCTTGGATGATATGGTGCCGATGTAATGTGATGGATCCCATTTCCACGCATGAAATCTTGAAACTCAGAAGAAACAAATTGCGGCCCATTATCACTCACTAGTTGCTGAGGGATTCCATTTCTGGCGAAAATACACCGTAGCACTTCAATGGTCTTTGAGGCTGTTGTAGAACCCATCTGAACGACCTCGGGCCACTTGGAGTGGGCGTCCACCACTACCAAGAACATACTGTTTAGCAAAATCCACATGGATCCTTTGCCAAGGTGTCATGGGGAATTCCCATGGGTGAACTGGCGCCTCTTTTGCTGTGTTTCTGTTACCCTGACAACCATTACAGTTCTTAGCGAGCTGCTCAAGATCCTTGTCAATCCCTGGCCACCATACATGACTCCTGGCGAGAGCTTTCATCTTGACAATTCCCGGATGTCCTGAGTGGAGTTCCTCTAGGACTCGAGGTTGCAGTTCTTCTGGAATTATCACTCTAATTCCCCACAGCAGAATGCCTTGTTGAACGGTAATATCATTCCGTCGGTCATAAAAGGGTAATGCTGCTTTGTCCTTCTGTGACCACCCGTGTAAAACGTCATTCAACACTTTACAAAGAGTTGGGCTCTTTCTGATCCCTTTCACAATATCTGAAGCTGAAACAGGTAATGTTTCAATCTGGGAAACTTGGAACAGGTGTGACTCATCTAAAATCTCTCGTTCACTCTGTGTCCGAGCTGATTTTAACGGAAGACGTGATAGCCCATCTGCATTCCCATGCAGCTTAGTGTTCTTGTATTGTATGGAGTAAGTATAAGCCGATAGGAAAACTGCATATCTCTGCATGCGTGCTGACGCACTAACAGACATTCCTTTCGACGGACCAAAAATAGAGACTAATGGCTGATGGTCTGTGATTAGTGTGAAATGTCTCCCATATAGGTAAGCGTTAAAATGTTTAATTCCCCAAATTATAGCCAAAGCTTCCTTATCAATTTGGGAATAATTTCTCTCCGCTGGATTTAACGTGCGCGAAGCAAACGCGATCGGGCGTTCAGCGCCACTCGGCATGACATGAGACAGGACTGCACCCACGCCGTATGGTGAGGCATCATAAGCTATGGAAACAGGTAGGTTTGGGTCATAATGAGCTAAGACCTGCTCTGATGTCATCTTTTCCTTTACCTTGACAAAGGCCTGTTGACACTCCCTAGACCACACCCATGGTGCATTCTTCTCCAACAGTTTATGTAAGGGTCTTAGAGTTGATGCCAAGTTCTGTAGGAACTTTCCATAGTAATTGACCAGGCCCAAAAAGGCTCTGAGCTGCGAGACATTTCCTGGTACTGCTGCCTCAACAACAGCTTTGATTTTCTCCTGAGTCTTGTGTAAGCCTTCCGCATTGATGACATGGCCACAGAACTCTATCTTGTCTTCAAAAATGTCACATTTCTCAATGTTTGCTTTTAATCCATACTTCTGAAGTCTACCTAGTACACTACCCAGGTTCTGTAGATGTTCCTCCTCAGTGCGTCCTGTAATTATCATATCGTCAATTATACATTGGACACCTGGGATGCCTTGTAGGATCTGCTCCATAGTGCGCTGCCAAATTGCTGGCGCTGCAGCGATACCAAACACTAATCTGTTGTAGCGGAACAATCCTCGGTGTGTATTAATTGTCAGCAGTGGTCTCTGTTCCCCAACAACCTCCATTTGTAGATAGGCGTTCTTCAGGTCGATTTTAGTAAAGTGCTGACCCCCAGACAGATTCGCAAATATGTCTTCAATCTTAGGCAAAGGATACTTGTCAATCACAATCATTGAGTTAACAGTAGTTTTGAAATCCCCACAAATGCGGACCGACCCATCTTTCTTGGGCACTACTACAATGGGAGTAGCATAGCTACTATGATCAACCGGTGTAAGTATACCTAGGTTAACAAGTCTATCAAGTTCCTTGTCCACAGCTGGCCTAAGAGAGAAAGGCACGGGCCTCGCTTTCATGAACTTGGGCTGACTATCCTCCTTTAATGTGAACCTGGCCTGAATATCCTTTACTGTACCGAGATTAGGTTCAAACACCTCCGCGTATCTCTGGAGAATGGATTTTACTGAATCAGCACGGTTACTATGGTCTGACACTGCCGAAACTGCATGTATTTCTGCCCAGTTCAGTTTTAGTTCACTTAGCCAACTCCTTCCGAACAATGGAGGTCCACCGCGCTCCACAACGTACAGAGGAAGATCACTTATTTGGTTGTTGATGTGTACTTTGACTTCCTTTACCCCAATCGGAGTGATAGTCTCACCTGAATAGGTCTTGAATACCTTTGTGGTGGGGTTTAATGTAACTTTCCCAAAATGCTCCACTAAATCCTGTTTCCGGATTACTGACACTGCTGAACCGGTGTCCAGTTCCATCCGTAGTGGTGTCCCATCTACTCTGGGCTTTACCCAATAAGGACCTGGGGACTGTGTATCATGTACCGTGTATATGTCACCTACAATGTCACCATAGTCATAATACTGGTCATCTAGAGAGTGTACTTTCTTCCCATTTTTCTCTGTGTGTACCTCTCGCCGACACGCCCTTTTAATGTGACCTACTTTTCCACACTGGTTACATTTTTCATTTTTGAAGAAACATTTTTGAGGATCATGTCCTGGACGTGTGCATCGATAACACGGCTTCTCGTGTGAACTCACCTTGGGTTTGTTTTGCTGTGATGATTTCTGATTTCTAGAGCTGAACTTTGGATTCTTTGATTTCAGGCTATGTACACTCAGACCCTTGTGTTTCGCTTGTAATTCAACCGCATCCCGTGCGGCGGTTTCCATGGCCACTGCAATATCCACAGCTTTATCAAAACTTAAATCTTTTTCCGACAGCAACTTTTTCTGAACTGCCTCATTCTTCAACCCGCAAACGAACCGGTCCCTCAGTGACTCCATCAGCACGACTCCAAATTCACAGTGCTCCGATAATTTTCGTAATTGAGCTACATAATCTCTTACACTTTCTCCCTCCTTCTGATCACGCTTATGAAAGCGGAACCTTTCCGCGATAAGTAAGGGTTTTGGGGACAGATGATTCTTTAATATCGCCACCAGTTCATTAAATGTTTTTGTCGCTGGCCTGTCCGGTGCAGTTAGGTCTCGTAATACATTGTATGTCCTTCCGCCAATCAGACTGAGTAGCGCCGGAACTTGTTTTTCATCTTTTATCTCGTTTACAAGAAAATATTGACCTAGTCTTTCACTGTAGGACTCCCACGACTCCGTGTCGGCGTCGAATGATTCTAATCGACCTATGCGACCTGCCATTATTATACCAGTAACAAAAGTTTATCGAGTTCACAGGCCCCCGTTGATCTAGCGAACGAACCACGTGGTGTAAGCTTCACAATTAAAACAGGGCGAAACTGACCTTCTGTTGACTGTGATGGCGAATTTCAATGCATGATACTGTTACTGTTATGTCGTAACGGCCATCCTCGTCGCCAATATGTTGTGTATTCTGTCTAAGTGGGTATGTACAAACGACACCAGACAGTGGCGGCCATTTCAGGAACTACCTTTTTTATTCATACGCCAGGATAGTGTAATACATAAAACGACATTCCGGATCTACACCCACATATATGTAACACTCTCACTGTAAGTCATTTAACTTCATTGAATTTTATTTTGCTCGAGTAATACATTTACTTGAACTAACCAAGCCTTATCTAATATTTTATATCGATATTATCCTTACTAGTATGTGTTGCATTGTGTATATAAATTGGTATGTTTGTTTCTTTTGTAAGTAATGCTAGGTGTTTATGCATTATTTCTAATTAACCAGTACCGTCCCATATACTTGCTTGTCTGTTGTCTTGTTAAGGTAAGCCTGCATTTACAAGTTTAGAGAAAACGAATGGATGGCAGCAAAATAGACTTTCAACTAGGCAGTTTCTTCACACATCATAAATGCTCCTTCTGCACTTCCATCCGGGCCACCAAGAGGGATTTATGAGTAAAAGTACCTAGTGATGTCGTTAGATTGGCTGGCTACTAATAACGATACGCGTATTTTTGTGCCGTAATCTAAATCAAATCACACGTGCAATTTATCTTGACAGAACAAGTGTAACAGCCTTAAATCCTAGATTAGGTATAAAATTAATCGATTGACGAAGAAAGGATCTGAGAATTGATAATTAATTTCAGTAATTACGTAGGAGAAATCGTTTTCCTTACTAATAAACAGTTTCGAATAATTCCTTAAATGATTCTCATTGAAAAGTAAAACTGTAATGATCGTAGTGAGTGTTCGAGGAATTCAAAGCAGAAAAAAAAGTAAAAAATAATTGTAAATATGGATATATTTATTTAGAAACAAATTAAGTTAACAAATATCAATCCATGAGTTAGATAAGTTGACACAATAACTATAAAGAATATATTGTATAATTGTAAGTAGAAAGAATATATAATCTCCATATGATAAAGTACACAATGATCCAGATTATAAAAAAGTATTGTTAAATTGAAGGTAGAAACTTCAGTAAAAAAATTTAAAACATGAGGTAAGTAACAAAAACCTTATACTCTTGTTCCAAAATATAGCAAAATTTGAATGATTAAAATGTTCGAATGTGAGAAACAATTCACACAGTATGTACATACGGTTTGGTTCAGGTAGTATGGATTTCAAACAAAGTTTTCAGAAAATAACATGAAAAATAAAGAACGACATTACAATATCTACTGGCATGCAAATCAATGTGAACATATATGTCAGATTGGTTATCAAGGTGATAGCTAATGGAAATGATATGCGTTTTCAACAGTGAACAAGAAGACTCTTATTCATGAATCCTCCATCTTATCCGAGGTAACGGAAGTAGAAAAGAGCGAAGACGACAACAAAACACACAAGGAACTTGTGAATGGTATGGAAAAAGAACCAGGAAAAGCTACGATGGTTATGGACACAGTGAGGCGCCTCCAGGGCAGCGTACATCAGGGCGAAGAACAGGCTTAACATTACACCGTCCTCCCATCGTCCAATTGGATAAAATTGACTGTAACGGAACACGTGGAAAGTCATAGAATACGAAAGGAATTTTTATTTTTCAACAAAATTATAGACCTATCTCTATCTAGATGTTTATTGCACAAGAAATGTATAAGGCAATCGATATTATTAAACAATAAAACACGATTGAAAAGGGAAATAACTCGCTATATTCATAACTGAAAATCCGACGGTAATATACTTATGTATCATGTGAACTAATTCTAACGTTTTACATAAATTCTGAATAAGGATTTACGAGAACAATTTTGACAAGAAAAATGGAATCATCATAGTAACTCTATCTAATATTGTATTATCAATCTGGATCTGATGTCAAGAACAAAACTTACTCGGTGACGAATTTCAACAGGACAACTAAAAGGGCGTCACACACTAGGGCGGTGAGTAGGTATCTCTCGCCGGTTCTGTGTCCCCATGGCGACCTGTCGTTGTACCATAATATACTCACAACTTCTGCTAGTATTCCTGCTATCACCATAGCAATGCTAAACTGGATATGTAGTTCCGCCATCTTATGATATTTTGCTTGCTGAAAAGTTAAGAATTAAAAGAAAAATGTAAAAATATTGACATAGTGAAGTTCGTCTCCACATTAACCCAGTATTGGCAATGCTGTGCGTTTTACGTTATATATCTAAATATCTTTTTATAGGTTCAGTTTATCTAAAAGTGATGTTAGCAAAAATCCCGTACAAGCTATAGTTTGACAACTGACAATGGATTCGACTGTATGTCTAGATGTTTCATTGGAGCCGAACCATATCAAACCGTTTCATATGAAATACTATCACGTTTCTCTAAATGACCAAGCGTTTTGATGTCACCTATTGTATCTAAAAACACCAGTCGACCAGTTTCAATATTGGTTATGTACCTGGTCGTATGTGAACTTGTTTTATAACCTATAAGACTGATAAACATTGCACATTATTTTTCATTACAGGATTTTCAATAAATTTTTGAGATAACACTGTGTTTCAATTAAGATGACGATGTATGATAGAGTGGCCTACGATAAGACATCAATAGAATCTCTAGGTATATCGACAATCGCCAGTTTGTAAATTCGATCGCTGGTGAGATTAAAGGGAAGCAACTCTAGTCTTCTTAGCTTGTTTTAAAGTTCAGAATGAAAGAGGTCATACTATAAATAGTAACACAACAACAACACATATAAAATCGATATTTTCAGCATGCGACCAGACTTGATTGATGACAATTTAGTGGATTTAGAAACTCAATACGAATTCACGGAATATAATAACACGAATTCGGCAAAACGACAAGTAGAGATGTCAAACTATAGCCTTGATAGTGAGCATCTCTTGGTCTGATCGTATCTAGAGAGTGAATTTGACAAAGAATTCCGATTTGACGTTTATGCATGTATTTGAGACCGAAAATGTAAATGGGATTGTATACTGCAAGCACATCTTAAACGATACACAATTATGACAGTGCTAGTATGCTATATAGATCTACAGCCTCCAACTATTTATTAGTCTACACCTATAGATGCAAACACCGTACAATGTACGCTGTTGGTTCACGCTAGAATGGCCTCTGAACCACCGTGAATTGATCGATGGTAATGTTAGATTTACCAATCTCGAACTGTAATAATTATTTCGAATACTATCAATGCACATATATGAAATGTGTTGAAATTGACACCTTCATATATGTAACTGAGTTATATAGAGAAAGCTTACCTTTGACCCGGGGATATGAAGTGTATATTCTATAACCTGCTTCTCGAACGTTTCTTGCCGCGGAGGTCACGAGCGTCCCGCCAATAAAAGTTAACCAATGAAAATTCGTCTTGATGTGGTTTGTAAACAATGGCGAAAAGTACACGTAGGGTATAACAAGTGTGTACAGAGTTACACTATAGTATTATCAGCGACCAATGATGACAACATAAGTTGTGTACAAATATTGACCACAGGTGGTAGGTCCACATTAAGAGACTGACTTTCCTTCTCACGATACGTTTGAAACAGCTGAACTGATCAATTTCTTTATGTGAAAAAAGATGAAATGTTAATTAGCTCACCTGGAACAGGGACGTATACTATATAGAATACGTCCCTGGTAGTATACTATATAGAATACGTCCCTGGTAGTATACTATATTGAATACGTCCCTGGCTGTATACTATATAGAATACGTCCATGGCTGTATACTATATAGAATACGTCCCTGGCTGTATACTATATAGAATACGTCACTGTCTGTATACTATATAGAATACGCTCCTGTCTGTATACTATATAGAATACGTCCCTGGCTGTATAGTATATAGAATACATCCTTGGCTGTATACTATATAGAATATGTCCCTGGCTGTATACTATATAGAATACGTCCCTGGCTGTATACGATATAGAATACGTCCATGGCTGTATATTATATAGAATACGTCCCTGGCTGTATACTGTATAGAATACATCCCTGTCTGTATACTATATAGAAAACATCCCTGTCTGTATAGTATATAGAATACGTCCCTGGCTGTATACTATATAGAATACATCCCTGACTGTATACTATATAGAATACATCCCTGTCTGTATAGTATATAGAATACATCCTTGGCTGTGTACCAAATAGAATATATCCTTAGCTGTATACTATATAGAATACATCCTTGGCTGTATACTATATAGAATATGTCCCTGGCTGTATACTATATAGAATACGTTCGTGGCTGTATATTATATAGAATACATCCCTGTCTGTATAGTATATAGAATACATCCTTGGCTGTGTACCAAATAGAATATGTCCTTAGCTGTGTACTATATAGTATACATCCCTGGCTATATACTATATTGAATACGTCCCTGGCTGTATACTATATAGAATACGCTCCTGTCTGTATAGTATATAGAATACATCTCTGTCTGTATAGTATATAGAATATGTCCTTGATTGTATAGTATATAGAATACGCCCCTGGCTGTATACTATATAGAATACGTCACTGGCTGTATACTGTATAGAATATATCCCTGTCTGTATACTATATAGAAAACATCTCTGTCTGTATAGTATATAGAATACGTCCTTGGCTGTATACTATATAGAATACGTCCCTGGTAGTATACTATATAGAATACGTCCCTGGTAGTATACTATATAGAATACGCTCCTGTCTGTATAGTGTATAGAATACGTCCTTGACTGTATAGTATATAGAATACGTCCCTGGCTGTATACTATATAGAATACGCTCCTGCCTGTATACTATATAGAATACGCTCCTGCCTGTATAGTATATAGAATACGTCCCTGGCTGTATACTATATAGAATACGTCACTGTCTGTATACTATATAGAATACGTCCCTGGCTGTATACTATATAGAATACGTCCCTGGCTGTATAGTATATAGAATACGTTACTGGGGTATACTATATAGAATACGTCCCTGGCTGTATACTATATAGAATATGTCCCTGACTGTATACTATATAGAATACGTCACTGGCTGTATAGTATATAGAATACATCCTTGGCTGTGTACCAAATAGAATATAACCTTAACTGTATACTATATAGAATACATCCTTGGCTGTATACTATATAGAATATGTCCCTGGCTGTATACTATATAGAATACGTTCGTGGCTGTATATTATATAGAATACATCCCTGTCTGTATAGTATATAGAATACATCCTTGGCTGTGTACCAAATAGAATATATCCTTAGCTGTATACTATATAGTATACATCCCTGGCTATATACTATATTGAATACGTCCCTGGCTGTATACTATAGAATACATCCCTGTCTGAATAGTATATAGAATACGTCCTTGACTGTATAGTATATAGAATACGTCCCTGGCTGTATACTATATAGAATACGTCCCTGGTTGTTACTTTATAGAAAATGTTGGTATTTTATTGTTGTTAGGTATATACATAAGTTTTCTTTCATGTAAAAAAGTCTACGTAGTCACTGTATCTGTGTTCTATAATAAAGTCTGTGTAGACGTAGTCTCTGTATCTGTGTTCTATAATAAAGTCTGTGTAGACGTAGTCTCTGTATCTGTGTTCTGTAATAAAGTCTGTGTAGACGTAGTCTCTGTATGTGTGTTCTATAATAAAGTCTGTGTAGACGTAGTCTCTGTATCTGTGTTCTGTAATAAAGTCTGTGTAGACGAAGTCTCTGTATCTGTGTTCTGTAATAAAGTCTGTGTAGACATAGTCTCTGTATGTGTGTTCTATAATAAAGTCTGTGTAGACGTAGTCTCTGTATCTGTGTTCTGTATTAAAGTCTGTGTAGACGTAGTCTCTGTATCTGTGTTCTATAATAGAGTCTGTGTAGACGTAGTCTCTGTATCTGTGTTCTATAATAAAGTCTGTGTAGACGTAGTCTCTGTATCTGTGTTCTATAATAAAGTCTGTGTAGACGTAGTCTCTGTATCTGTGTTCTATAATAAAGTCTGTGTAGACATAGTCTCTGTATCTGTGTTCTATAATAAAGGATGTGTAGACATAGTCTCTGTATATGTGTTCTGTAATAAAGTCCGTGTAGACGTAGTCTCTGTATCTGTGTTCTGTATTAAAGTCTGTGTAGACGTAGTCTATAATAAAGTCTGTGTAGACGTAGTCTCTGTATCTGTGTTCTATAATAAAGTCTGTGTAGACGTAGTCTCTGTATCTGTGTTCTGTAATAAAGTCTGTGTAGACATAGTCTCTGTATGTGTGTTCTATAATAAAGTCTGTGTAGACGTAGTCTCTGTATCTCTGTATCTGTGTTCTGTATTAAACGTAGTCTCTGTATCTGTGTTCTATAATAAAGTCTGTGTAGACGTAGTCTCTGTATCTGTGTTCTATAATAAAGTCTGTGTAGACGTAGTCTCTGTATCTGTGTTCTATAATAAAGTCTATGTAGACGTAGTCTCTGTATCTGTGTTCTGTAATAAAGTCCATGTAGACGTAGTCTCTGTATCTGTGTTCTATAATAAAGTCCATGTAGACGTAGTCTCTGTATCTGTGTTATATAATAAAGTCCATGTAGACGCAGTCTCTGTATCTGTTATGATAACAAGGTCTGTGTACATTCATATGTACATGTTTTTTTTAACAAAGCGTTCGTAGTTGTAGTAAACATATATATTATGTTATGAAGTATGTATATATTTAGCTGTACCTGTGTCCTATTGTCTGTAGATTCTCTAGCCGTGTTTATATTCAATGTAAATATCCATGAGCTTAGCTATAGTGTATGTATTTAACCTAAATTGCGTGCTATGTTATATGATAACAAGAAATGTTGCTTTCGTCTTTTTTCTGTCATGTAATAAAGTGTAAAGATTCAGCTTTTATATCTGTGATCCGTGTTATGTATGCATGAAAATATAGATTAAATCTGTATATATCCTATGTACTGAAGCCACACAAAACTACCCAATTATTTAAATACGGCGGTTCATAGGCTTTTCTACATCTTAATGAGATTTCGTTTTGCATCTATGTGGGTAAGTAAAACATGACCAATCAATGTCGAAATGAGGGAACACTACATCTCTTTCTTTTTGTAAAATTGGTTAAGTGTCCACAAATTTGAAAATGACGCGTTTCACTTCTTCAAGAATTGATTTAGAAAAACAAGATTTTATTTGGCGACAACCATATTATCGAATCGGAAACAACGATAAAATGCCAACAAAAGTATAGAATCGTTATCCAAACTCAAAATTGATGAAGCGAGGACAAAACATCAGCAAAAAGATTTACACGGAGATCCTTATTAAACACAAGGGAAATCAGACCAGGTGTTCCGAAACAGTACGCGTCTTTTGCTTCATTAAAAGACACCTGCATAGTTATCCTTGTGTAATATCCAAAATCATCAAAGAAGATTATACAAAAGAAAAGAGAATGATAACTTTTAATGTAAATTCGATACAGAAAAGCCAATTAAACTCCAGTTTACTGCTGGTTCGTCCCTACAGGATTCATCGGTAATGTCGAGGTCCAAAATTTTGAAGCCTTGAAGTTGACTGAGATGATAAGATAATTCACTTCATCCATCGACGAATACATGCTATGCAAATCTTTTCACGTTCCAAAATGAGAACAAAGTAAACTATAGCAAAACCACCTTGTATGGTAACGAGCATCGCCGCCTACCTTTATTCTGAAGTAGGATATTCCCCAGAGACCTTGATGAAGACCATAAAACATATTCTCAAATGAAAACGAGGTTAACAAAATCAATGGAATCACCTGGCAGTTCTTGGACATAAGGAACATTTGGAAAGAATATTTTTGTAAACGGGTTGCGTGATGAAAGGTGTTCATTCATTCTTAATTTTTAAAAATTCTAACCAATTTTATTGTCATAATGTAAAGAATTGGACATCAGAAGGGCCTATTTAAGTCCTCTCTCTGTTCCTTCCAAGAACGATTGAAATAACAAAACATTGCGATCCGGTTAGTCTTGAACTAATTGATGACCATCAAATATGTATTAAAAGTTATAAAAAGAAATGTCCCATATTACAGTATTACTTGTTCCCTTTTCAGAAATTGTAGAGTTGACATATGATACACAATAATTACTTCCATAGCAAAATCGTTCATAAGTGTATTAGAAATTATAAAAAAAGATTAAGCAGGTTCGGCTTAAAAGTTATAAAAAGAAATGTCCCATATTACAGTATTACTTGTTCCCTTTTCAGAAATTGTAGAGTTGACATATGATACACAATAATTACTTCCATAGCAAAATCGTTCATAAGTGTATTAGAAATTATAAAAAAAGATTAAGCAGGTTCGGCTTGCATCGATATTTCAAATCAAGAAGTCTTTGTACTGAAACGTTAAGAGCTGTGTGGTAGCTGCAGTGTGATAGGCGTGTTGATTTCCTACTGTAACTTTACCATTTTTATCTTCAAACCTATGGTGTTTACATGTCGCAGTTGCCTCCATATTTAAGGATTCATTGTCACGATTTTCAGAATACACGGTTTCGAGAAAAACATTATGATAAAAATGATTGGGAAGTTTTAGAACCACCATGATGAGCTCATTGGGAAATATTATATTTACGATATGAAGTTGGACGTTTGGTTCCATTGTTTCCTTGTTCTCATTTGGGAACGTGACATTACTAACTGACAGAGATTACATGGTGGGTTTAGTTAATGAAGTTGCAGCCGTTTGTTCTTCTCTTAATCTCCTTGTAATTTTTCAGTAGTCCCCATGGAATTATTTTTTCTCATATTTTGCCACTGTTTAAGTGAATTCCGAGGTTGCATTATGGTTCTGAAAACCTGTTGATAGTTTATTCGTTGTAAATTAATATTCAACGTAACATTAACGTTAGGTAAACAAAAATGGCAGAAGACTGGACAAAGGCTCGCAACGTGCGTCTTTGTTCAGCCTAACCAAAATACAGCTGATATTTCACGACACTGACTGTATATTCTCTATATATCATCCCTGCAGTGATGCAGGGATGATATCTATTATATCTTGTTGATAAATTCACATGCTCAATGGTTTCGTGAAGGGGTTCATGCATACAATTGTAAACTCTAAGACATTTGGGAAACAAAACTTATAACAGACATAATGTGGAGCCGATATGCACCTTTAAGATAATTTATATATCAATATATATTTTTGTGCTAACAAATGCATGTGTTTTACGATTGTCCTTAAAAGAAGACAGGGCGTATTGAATCCATTTAATTTCCAGAAGGAGGATAAATGTTTGTACCAAGCCATTGCTAACGATGTCGTATTCAAAGGTCCTCTGATTTTTAAGGATTGATAAGACAGTAATCGTTGTGATGCTTTGCTTAAAATAAACATCTACCAAGTTAAGTTGTAAATTCATGACGACCCCGATTATTCAATCAACGCGAAAAGGAATTGCTAGCTCGACGAAGTTGTTAATTAACAAGTACGGTTTCGGTATGGACAAGATAGGAATTCTTTTTTAAGGATAAATGTTATATCTATTTTATCTTAGAATCTTAGTCAAATACTTCTCTTGTCATATTAACAATGTTTCCTATACGATAATTTCAAATATTAACATCGTGTAATCACTTTATATTTTATCAATGTGTTGTGTGTCCTGTTAACAGCCAGGGTCACTTAAGGACGTGCAAGGTTTGTGTCGTGGAGGAAAGCCGGAGTTTCCAGAGGAAAAAAACTGACCTGCGGCCAGTACCTGGCGACTGCAAAAGTAGGCCTCGAACTCGCGACCCAGAGGTGGAGGACTAGTGATAAAGAGCTCAGAGGCCTTAACCATTTGGACACCGTGGCCTTCAGACCAGAATATTGTACAGTGCCAACTTTGAATACGTATTTAGTGATAAATACAGAGTATGCATCAGATAATGGAAAAGAGTATTGTATTTATTTTGTACTTTTGATAAATCAGAATGCACCCTCGAAAGATATTTGCAGCATATCTGCGAGAATAAATAAAATCTTACAATATCCAAGCTTTGTTGACTTGTCACCAACGAAGAAAATTATATATTAATAACAATAAACACTCGGATTTCGAATTAAAGCAATTTATCTAAATCAGTGTGTATAAATATGACATGAAATCAGATCTTAACTTCATTTCTACAAATGATATGTATGTTATGACTATTTCATTGACTACTTAATACTTTTTAAAACTATGAAGTACAAATAGTATGATGAATGATAACATAAACTTGTGAGCGACGTGGTACATAAAATAGGAGGCACTGTAGGTATCGTAGACATAGTGTGGTCCTTGTAGTCCAGCATAGAACAGGGCCACCCACAAACTCAGTACAGCCATGTCTTCCCAACCTCGGCAGGTCCAATGGGCCCTTTGAATAATATAGAGGTATAAAATTGAAGTATTTCAACAGACAATACGCAGGATTAGAGACACCTTTTAAACTATAACTAGGATAATATTACACACCATATGAAAATATATGATATTATTTATAGAGGGCGTCACCGTCAATAGATGTTGAAGTAGGCATTGATGATTAACGAACCATGAAATACACAAAAAGAGGAGACGAACATTACATGGGCAAGTTTGACTAGGTTAAAATGTGTTTAAATGGGAGAAGACTTGAAAATAGGCAATCTACTGTAGCCAGCATAGTACAATACTTATATTCGTGTAGTAAAGCTTTAATGCAAACACATTGGAAAGAGTTGCGGGTGAAGTGAAGTTAAACCGGAGCTTACTATGTATATAAATTCCCTTGTGGTTAACAGCAATATATAAGTTGTATATGTGAAACATACTTGTATTTTGTGCTAGCCGTTGAAATATTAAGCAAACACATTTAAAAAAAGAAATGCATTTACTCTATATGAATAGAAGTTTAAAATGCGATAGACAATCAAGTAATTATTTTCAAATCGAAATTCCTCAAGAGTATCAAGAGTATCAGACATTTATACTTGTAAGAATTTTTGCATGAAAGAAGATTGCAACTTTATCCAATTTAATCAGTCATAATAGAATGAACGCCGACACGAAGTTCTTAAATATTAATTGTTTTCTAAGTTAAATTCCATCTATAAAATAAATCGTGAAGATGCATTTAAGATAATTCAGTTCATGTCCTAACGAACAAGATCAATAAGTATATTGGTAAAGTTGCCGGTGCTTGTTTTGATCCCTATCACGACTTTACCCTTTCACTACATTCGTTCTATACATCATCTATGTTCAGCAATTTAACTTGCAACATGCAATCAAACACAAAGATGCATGACAGGTATTGCAATGTGATACTTACTCTTTGATATATTTGAGTACGTAGACTACGATGCAGTCACACAAGATAGCTGGGATCAGATATCTATGACCGATGTGGTGGAACCAAGGTGAGTAATGAGTGTACCACATCACACTGAAGATCTCGGCGATCACCAGAGCTATTACCATAGCCACGTTGAATTTGACTCTCACTTCCGCCATTTTGTTGTATTACTTGGCTCTACAAGTTACTGAAAAGAAATATTCAAATGTTTTATGCAGCAGATCATGGTATACTATCAGCAATATTCGTTTATAGAAAATAAAAAGTCAAATCATATCATAATCAAATACCTTAGTATACGTCTCATCAAGTTTGAAAATGAGTTGACAGCATGAGATAGAAAAATATAAACACAATAGACTAATTGTATTGTCAACTACAGCTTACGCGGTCATACAGCGGTAGGTAATGAAATGATGTGTTGTTTAAGGTGGCACACGCGATTCATTTGCAGTGACTGTAAACATTGTTTTGTATTGGTGATGCTAGATGCCAGATTACCCCGGTACGTCTTGGTCAGTGTTACTTTAGGTAAACTACGTCATGACTTATATGTAAATACTCTAGGCATTAAACAGCTGGGTTAATCGTACACCATATACATCACCCATATGGTTATCATATACAGCAGTATTCATCACATTACTCGGCAGTGTCTTCAAGGTTAAGAAGCAAACATTCTATTTTACAACAATTGTGAAAACAAGAAAGAGAATACCGACATATTAATAGAATCTTAATTAAAAAACAAATCAGATGACGTTATTAGAAAATAAGAACAAAAGAAAGATTTACTCAGAGACTCCTGAAAAATACAACTCGTGTTGAACCAGACGATTAACAATATCTTTATTTGTGCGCAAAACCATCTCGAAACATAAAAAAGCAGTTAAAATTTTGATGGAAAAACTTGTTTCATATAAAGGCATCGGTATCGTGTATACAACAATAAGGTTAAAAGATGCATTAGTGTTTTGTTGTGTGTAAAATCACAGAAGTTTTAGGGAAAAGTCGACTTACAAACCGCTGTGTAAAGAATATGGTGTACTAAAGTATATTCATTGCAGACTGGAAATCACATTAACCTGTAAACCAAGCATGACTGCTGACACACACCACATACTACATCTACTTATGATGAAGCCATGACTGAGGTATAATTGTATGATCAATCATCAGTCTTCCTGCCAGTGATGTGGCTTAACTAGATTATAGATGTGTTGTGGTAGCCGCTGATAGAGGAAGCAGAGCTGACCATGTTAGATAGCCTTGCTTGCATGAACAAATCTATTTGTTTTGTTATAAATTATGATATCTAAAAATTCCCAATGCAATACATACCCCGTCACGCTTTGTTGTAGATTTTATCTTTGTTCTTGCTGCAGACAGAGATTCAGCACTCCCGTCTTTGTTTGTCAACAAATCCGTGAAAATGAGCACGGATATAGCTAACTGACCTTTCAGCCAATCAGGGGGCTATTTTAACACGTCTCCCCGCGGTTTGCTGAAGGGCGAGGCACAAGAAGATATAAATAGTGCAAAAATTGCCTCGGTTGGAAGAGCATTCGACCTGGTGTACCATCGATCAATGTGTAAAGCCGTACTGTAAACACCCGACGTAAACTACATTTAGTCATAAATTGTTTCTTTTGTTTGCTGACATGACTCGATACGATGGAAAACTTGACGGCTCTCATTTTTAAACTCTATTTGAAAAAGAACTGTTCTCAAGAACTCCCTCGACAAATTAACGCGACTACAAATGCAATTTCTAAAGAAATTGAAAATTAACAAAGTTTTCGAAGGGGCAATTCCAATCCCTTAGTTTGCCTTTCAAAATTATAGCATTGAATTGACCAAACCTAGAGATGACCTAGTTAAAACCTTATCGATTGTATGGGGAGATGTGTATGGATCAATTTACTTCATACACAATGTTTGAACAACAAAGTCCTGTCCAGATATTAGCCTATTGGAGTAACATGACCCATACAATACAATATACTGTTATTTATACGTGGGAATACGAGTTCCAAATACTAGATGGATGATAAACTGACTGGACTATGTTTCGGGTTTTTGGGCACAGATGATTGGCCCAATCGAAATTATTTCATATCTTAGTCAAATTACCAAGATTTGCAATTTACTCCTAAAACTTTTTCGGTCCGGTTCACCAATTGTCTTTCTAAAACCTAACAAAAATGCTCCGACCCAAAAGAGTGGAAAAAAGGATTGAAAATGTGCTTTAGATACAAACATCTAAGATACTAATTGAATATGAAAATACATACCTGTGCATATCCTATGCCGCACTACAGAATTTCCAAAGTGGAGTATTTTTATTGCAACAACTCTATCAGTTTTGTATAACAAATAATTGTACAAGAAAAAATGCATCAATGAATGACAACATTATTTATACTAATGTACAATGGAAATCAAAATATTTTGCTGGAATAGTATGTAAGTTTGCACTTATTTTTTGAGGATACAAAGTTCTAGGGTAAGTTTCGAACTTCCATGTAAATTTTTCCAAAGTGAAAGTCTTTGGAGCACTAGAATTTCTGCAACAGAAGCCAGTCTGAGATGTATGTATCAAAGTACGTGATATTATCGCGCGGTTGTTTGTTTTGCTTCTTATAAAGAGTAGATTTGACCTTGAAGAGATTCGAGACCAGTTTCATTATATAAAGCTTCATTATATACGTACAAGGCAAGTCTACTGATAACACTGAATATTATCATAATCAAAATGGCACAACCAATTTCTTTTGCACTAGATGTATATTTTATGACACTTACAGTGAATAGGGAAACCCTTACGATGAAGTATAAATATTTCCGTAAAATGTGGACTTTTTAGATAACAAAATTACATTTCATTCGTAGGATTTCTACTTAGCTCTACCATTCAAAATAACTCTGGAATGTTTCTGACAATCTGTAAAGTCTGTAATATGTCCAATACGTCTAGTTATAACCATTAATTGCCACGTTGGAGATAAACATTACAGTATGTAAATATTTGTCAAAAGCATTTTCGCGCTGAAGACAGGAACGTGAATGGCGCGAGAATTGGCTCTTGTGGAGTCTAAGACGTAATTCCCCTACAGAACAGTAAAAGTTTTTTGGGTCCATGTATATTATTCACGTGATCACATGCATACGTTTCTCTGCAAGCGCAACGGTCATGCATATATTTACAATTCAGCGTTTTCTCCTTCATCAATAGAACTCACCTAGCTATCTTGGTCAACTCAAGTAATGTCACGTTACAAAATACTAACGACCATCGAATACAGACAATTTGTATTATGCAGGCAAAATAGTTCCCAATGAGATCCTGGTGACGATTACGAAACTTTTCCATCATTAATCTGCATCTCTCGAAACTCTGTTCGAAGTTAGCTGTCAGCTGTGGGTCTCTTTCACGGTAATCGCGACATTGGTAGCAAGCTCTTTAATTTCTAATAAACTGTGCCAACATTATGGTTTTGAGAAGCGTGATTTTAATATCTAGAAATGGAAAACGTAGGGAAATCGACAGAATCAAGCTTATGATGCATCTTAGGAGAAATTGACATTGTTGTCAGCATGTGCATGATGTGTAGTAACGCATGCTAGCATTTCATTTCCAGGAACCAATTCTAGTATGTATACCGTAAACGATGGATACAATTAATACATTATCAATATAACATATGGAACTGAAGGACATGTTAGGGTCTATGTTAGCTGTTTTAATAAGCTCTTCGGTAAAATATGCCTAATCTGCAATATTGATAGACAGATGGACAGTTATCGAGTATATTGTTGACAGGAAATTGATCATTCTTACGATTTCACCCTTAGTGTATATTAGCTTCGCATTTGACATGATTCTTGCGATTTAATCAAAGTATAAATTCAGTCATATGATAGGGAAAAAAACCTCTAAATGCCAGAATGACGGCATTCTGAGCATTTTCGTCAAACAATTATCTATTTCGTTTTGGTGACTTTGACTTTATTCTACCACCATCATAGACCCAGTAAAACGTTCATATGTACTAGTAGAAAAAACATCGATTGGTAATCACAATGACAGGAAAGCAAATCAAAGTGAACAAAGGTAGTTTGTAATATTCTATACGTATGTAGTGACCAATGGAAGTCGATTTGGCCACGCTTTATAACATACCTATCTTGGAATGGGGTGTGGTAGTGTACAAAATGGAAACAAAACTTCAGAAATATATCTGTATAAGAATAAGACTAACCCGGGCAGTTTGAATAAATCAGGCGGACCAGGCTATCAGTCTTTTAAGGTTAAGTGGTAACGTGTAATGTCTGTAGATGATGATTATTTACATTGGGTGTTTTTTTCTGTATACCAATCACATATTTCTAAAGCAGATCCTGAAGTTTGGTTTTCATACGATGATAAAAATAGACTTGTGATTTACTGTCTAGCTAGACTCTAAGCTGTTAATTCTTACACTTAGAAACATTATAGAATGAGTGGATTTCATCCAAATCCATGATGGCCGCCTGTCGCACATTTTGTTTTCTGATCACTTCCAAAATCAAAGAGGGCAAAACTAGGGACCAAGGGGAACATATAAATGAAATCTGAGAAAGATCCACCCAGTAATTCTCAAGAAATAGTGATATCAAAATTTGTTTATGGACGGGCAGACGACTATCAAAGATCTGAAGTTTAACATGCACAGAGAGGCTTTGCTGAGAAACTGCATATGAAGTTTGGTATCGTTGCAGCGCCAGAATTACGAATTGTCCTATAGAAGCTTCTATATGTTGACAATTCTAAACTTTAATGCAATTCAAGTTTTCAAAAACATGACCTCAGTGTTTTCACAGTTTTTTTAGTCAGTTGTTAGAAATAAATGAATAGGAACCACAGTACTGTTAAAACACAATGTCAACTATGATCAGGATACTAATTCTTTTTAAACACTAAAATCAGTAAAAGAAACAAAAATCAGTGTTGTAAAATAATTTAATAAGATCAGAGTCCTACATTTCGAGAATATGTAGATCTCTTATATACAGTAGATATCAGAACATCTTTAAAATGAAAGTGCACTTATACCAAAATCACAAATTACCTTAGCACAATGTATGTAAGCTTTTACTTAACAGTTGAAACGAAAATTTAATGAAAAAATGTCTTTGTCCAATTACTGCATGACAAAGACATGTTTCTAAAAGAATACAGGATTAAACATCAGTTTACAGTCAAATAAATGATACAGATTCCCAGTTTTAGAGATGGTCAGTCGTTTCCTTTCTTAATTTCCCATGTTATAACATATCAAAAGGGGACATAAACTCTCATGACACATTTTTTTTTTTTCATTAAATGTTTAAAACACCAAAAAGGTGACATTTCATTCTCACAAAACAAATAACATAAATCACAGACGCTGTTTTACTTTTAAGTGAAATAACCACAAGCAGAGCTAATAAATGTAATTATAAATATTTCACAAATGAAAAAGTTTTAAATCAAAAATCATAGCTCTTCCTGGATTCTTCAATTTTTATGTCTCTGTATGCGCCTTCATAAAACTTGGGTGGTTAGACAAAAATATTTAGTTACAAGCGTTTCAGGGATTTGACAGTGACATTTCATAATATCAATGTGAAACCTTCATCCTCAATCCAAATTTTCAAAAAGTGTTATGGTACCTCAAATTCACCAAGGACCAGGGTTAATACTTGAAAGCTCTAGTCATGATATGAAAGGGATATGAAATTATTTTCTCTCTGTACACTAGAGTATTGTGTATATCCATCTTTTCACATTTAGTAAAAACAACACAATCATTCCGAACGAGCTCAATGTAACAATTTAAAACAACAGAACATTACTAAAAGCATAAATGAAATACTGAATACATACAAATAATAATAAAAGATATTATAGTGATCTTAGCAATGCTTTAGAAAAGTTAGCTTTGTGACCTTGAAGTATGAATAACAAAAATAAATAAAGACTGTACCAAAACTTTGTTTTGATTTTTGAGGTGTCAAGTTAGAAATTGTAGAAATATGAAGCAGCATGTGTGAATTACATATTTGAATATTGTACATAAAAACGTATTCACAGAAAATGTTGTGAATAGGAAATACCAAAACTTACATTTTACCCTAAAATTTATAATTGTACATTGCTAATTGCATGCAGTAACAGAAGTAGATATGGCCCAGTTTTTTTCAATGACCTCACCTAATTCACGTATGCATCCATTGTGAACGCATCGTACACACACCACTCAATGTGTGATATGCAATATAACAACTGTACTTGGCATAAAAATGTTAATGTGCTCAGAGTAAATTATAAATAAATATTACAACATGGACATTCAATTAAGCACAACTCAGAATGTCTCCTTCAATATGTAGTCTCACCTCAGTAATATTTGTGTAATGTATTCAGAGAATTATAGGTCGATTTGTTAATTTGTTCCCACACATATCAAAATTAGTTACTGGAAAATAATCTGATCAGACATACATACAATAGGGAAAAAATCCATAAATATAGGTCTTACCTCACTAAAGAAATCAAATCAAAATATTCTAATATTAAGTTTTCTTCCAAGACAAGGTCATTTTAGGTTCAAATATCTATTACAAATTACATTTACAAGTGCATGGCAAGAATATGAAGCAACTGTTAAACTTGTTTTAAGACATACTGTTTCATTTTCAATAGTACATGAGAAAACAGATTTCCATTTGAAATCATTGAAAAATTAATTAAATTAATATTCTTTTCACCAAACATTAACACATGATGTTTATTAATGCCTCTTATAATCATCATTATACAAATAATAGAGAACTCTCTTTTCTATTATAGCAAGATCTCTTCCATGGATAATAACACCAACATCATGCACAAATACAGGTTAGACAAAATGTAAGCAGTAAACTCTAATATTTACAATGTACACCATCTAATTTTTCATTTGATTATTGATTATAAATGAATTACAAATAATTCATAATTAATAATCAAAAGACTTCAACGAAATTTAAGATTTAGATATGAATCTGCGAAAAAAACCCACAAACTAAAGTAAGTTCCATGATGGCATTAATGAAAAGTAAATGGTGAAGAGGACACATGTCAAAATATGATACAATATTTACCGGGTTTATTCTATGGACAACAAAACTCACACAAGATATCAAATCAGATCAAAAGAGATTGAGCAAATAATTGCAAGCAACAGGACGGTAAAATTGAAACAACTTTGTGCCTCTATATACAGTATAATGATTTGACAGAAAAAATTTACATTCACTGTAATACTATAGAATCAGGATAAAGCCCTGAAGAATCTTTACAACTCAGTACAAACTCTGATACCAATATCTTCTTAATTTTGCCTTTGACAGATATGTAAGGGATATTGTATGAGTTTCCATTTTTTAAGAAATTTAGAAATTATCTTTAAAAATCCAACCTTATGAAAGCTCATATAAAAACTTGACATCTCATGATGAAATGCTAAGAAATTCGGCTAGGTGTTGTTCATCAAAACTGCTCATCACAGCTTTATTTAAGGTGTTGTTTATGCATGATCCAACAGGTTGAAGCATGTCATGCATCAGGTATAAGCTTGATCAAGTTATCTTGATGTTTCACTACAACTATCAAGGTGGCTTCAAGTTATTTCCTATTGTATCCTCATTCTATCACATTGGATTTCATTATCATAATAAGTCATATAAAACATGCTTCTCAAATCAATAACAGCATTGGTCCACTTTTTATCAGATCCAGAGGTACAAAAATTGATCAGTATTTTCCATTAAAGAAAAAAAACAGTTTTGTACCCTGAACCATTATCTATTGAATCTGCACACATCAATAAATAATCGTAATGATAAAAAAAGTCTGGTCTTCCGCAGTTACAAAATACAAAATTTTGATGCATGTGTGATGTACCATTTTTTGCAGCAGTGAATTTAATAACAGTATCAATTTTAAAAAACAATCTCCAATACAAATATAAACAAAAAGATCATAATGTATTTAATAATTAACAATAAATGGAACAATAACAATTACACTGAAAGGTTTAGAGGACTTCAACTTGTATTCCATATAGATATGAACAATACATTTTGTGACAGAACTGTAAGATGAGTGATTGCTACCACAAAAATTGAGTCGGTAAAAAGTTTTTTCTAAGGTAATTTCTTATGAAAAAACAAATGGTTTTATATTTGATTTAAAATGACAATAGTGTCAAACATTATCAGTATTCCTCCTCTCACAAAATTGTGTTCTTCTATCATCAAACAATATTTGGTTTCTATATATATCTCATTGAGAATCATTATACATCCCCAATACATTGGTGAAAGGTGAATCATTCTGTAATGACAACTACATGATTTCAACTAGAATTCAATTTTGGTCTAAAATAGAGAGAAAACAATTGAAATTCTCTTTAATTTCTGTCTGATTGTGTCTTACTTGACTGACAAGAAGCAAGGAAAGATTTCTCAATACTTGTTGTCTCGATTGTCATCTATTGTCATTGATTCATTGTATCATTTTTTTTTAATCCGAGCAACACAGTAACTATAAATACAAATTTGAACAATAACTGCAAATTCTAACAAAGTATCCCAATTACACGTGGGACAAGATGATTTGATCTCACTATGATGTAAACAGATGGCAAGAGTGACTTTATGATGTTTCTTTTAGTGGGCAAATATAAATATTGAGCCTCTTATAGTTAAACAGCCCGGTATGAAAGACACTCTGCAATTGCCTTATTAGTTAGATGTCATTTCAATGTGACATGATTTCACATTCCTTTAATATAAACATGTAGATGATGCCAATGAACACTAAAACAAGCAAAACCTTTCAAAATACTTTTGAAATTTTTCATGTCAGTCAACCTCAAATGAAATGAACCTCAATATATAATATCAGTATGCTATGAAACATAGAAAACAAATTCAATTGAAAGCACTCATTAGCTTACCTCAAGCATTTTACATAACTTACTCAAATCCATCACATGTACAACTCACCCCCAAACTCAACCAGTTTCACGGTCACATTCCCATTACAAATGAATGTGGTGTTCAGCTTCATCATGCCAGTGATGTAACACTCACAAATAAATTGTGGCCTGATGATGACCTACTTAGCAGGCTGAAGCATGTCGGCTATTTCTTGAAACCTTAGGAGATGCTGCTCTTTCTTGTAGCTTGATATGATACAACTATACAATCCTCCATATATATGTATTTCCAATAAACAATTTGACAATTTCTTTTTTAAAGCTTATGAATTCCGTACAATTTTCAAAGTTCTTGTAATATCTGTCTATAAAAAAAGTATTGGTCAAACGAAAAATACCCCATAAATGTTTTGATAAGAAAACACCTAATAATCTGAAACCCCATCAAGTCACATATACACATACATATTAAGAACATTTAGTAAAGTCTTCAAAAATTGTGAAATGTACAGGTATGATGGAGAAAGACATGTGGAAAATAGGTCATGGTTTCAGTACCTTACCAAAAATGTGAAGTCTGTGCACGTAAGATGACAAAAATGTACATATACTGGGCATATCAGCAACATGATCTTTAAATCATTTACACATTTTCACAAAAATGGGCTTGTCCTTCCATACCAATCAACACCATTCATTGATAAACAAACACCACAGCCATTCCTAAAGATAAATCAGATACTCAGCAGTAGCTAAATATCAACAATCTTGTCTTACATTTAAAACTTTCACTTTTGATTACACTGTCATAATGTCTGGAGTCTTATGACATCACATTCTATTACATCACACTATGTATATGATTGTATCACAATCTATTACATTACACTTTGTATATGATTGTATCACAATCTATTACATTACACTTCGTATCTGTGTCACACTATATTACATGACACTTTGTATCTGGTTGTATCACACTCTTTTACATCACACTATGTATATGATTGTATCACAATCTATTACATTACACTTTGTATCTGATAGTGTCACATTCTATTACTTAACACGTAAGATTTCACTGTATCACACTTCGTACATGTATGATGACATGCTATGCAGATGTTTCTGTTCACTGTCTTTTATGGGGGACCCTTCATACTAGTTGCTTGCCTGTACCAAAGATGATGTACACAATCCAACCAAACAAACACACCCCAGCCGTCTGATTAAACACAGCAGCCCAGCTCTTAGTAGCCTCCAGAATGTGACCTGCCATGTACACTCCCACAAAACCTGTACAAAAACCAAATCATAATTCAAGACCACCGCTTACAGAAAATTTTTAAAATCATTGATATTATACACATAATTGTCTAATGTCTATGTAATTATACTACAAAGCAATTCCAAGATCACCAATATTATGATTACTTGATCTTCATACATTACACTGTACACTGTACTATTGTTTCTAGACAATCTCACCTGGTACTGCTCCAGCCATGTTCATAATACCTGAAAAAGACAAAATACCTTTCTTATACCTTGTATATACAATACATAGCTGACGTAAGGTTACTTCTACATGCATTATAATATTATTATTGTGAGTGGTAAGATATAGTGTAACAATTTCTTAAGTGGTAAGATATTGTGCAACATTTTTTTTATTGATCTATTTTGTGTGGTTATTGTCTAATTTCAGTCTCATTTTCCAAAATTTTGAAACCACAGAAACTTCAGTAAGAAAAAATTAACTACACCTGTAGATGTTAATTTCATGTCCTGCTCTCAATAGTAGGAAAATGGAAAGTGGAAAGCAAAAACAAATCCCTCAAATATCAACATTATTATATTGTGCATTTTCTACAGATTTTAAATGTTTAAAGCTATTGCAATCATCCCTCGTTATGATTATCATTTAACCTCAAGGTTTACCTCCTTTCTACAAGCTTTTTCTATGTGTTTATTCAAAGTATAGATGTGCCACGTCTTCAAAATCATCATACATATTGATTCTTACCAAACACAGCACCAGCATGTCTCGGCGCGATATCCTGAGGGTTGACAAGGATGCCACTGTTATGGAAACCACAGCATGCCACCGCTATAGCCATGATAAACAATGCTGAATAGTAACTGGTGGTATAGGATATCATCACTAGTGCTGCTGAGGTACCACACAGGGCTATACTCTGTAACACAATAAACAATGGACTGTCTAGTAACAGCGATTTTGGAAATCATTGCTGATGCTGCTGAGGTACCATACAGGGTTATACTCTGTAACATGACATCTAACTTGTAACTGGTGGTATATAGGAAATCATATGTCCCTAACATGAATCAAAGGTCTATATACAGTTATTTATATGAAATAAAATATACCATTTAGTGCGAACATGTACATATAAAATCAGATTCAGGGTTTTCCATAATTTTTTAAGTAGTAGGCTGTGTAGTGAAAGTAGGAGGCTGGCCTGCCGTGTAGTTGTGTACCGAACATTATTACGGAACTGGATTGGTGTAGGCTGCCAAATGATCAAAGTAGCCTGTCAAATTGGCCGGCGACCGGCTCTTATGGAAAATCCTGAGATTAACATCTGTTACTTAAAATCAAGTAAAGGGGAATAACTCTTTCAGTATACTACTGGTTAATGATTAAACTTACCTCCATGAACTTTCTCACGAATGTCACACTGAAGCCTGTAACAAAAATATCATAATACAGGAGACACCATGTTTGGGAGATTTACAAAAATGAGACAGGAACTGTATATTTGTTTCATACACTATTGGAAAATTTGGAATTCCCACATTTTACTAAAAGCTTCAGGTTTTGATGGAATTATATTCCAATGTGTCGTAGAAATTCTCAGCTAATAAATAAATGAACACAAGCAGAATAACTCCACAGACTTAATATCGCAAATAGCAGTGTATGTGTACATATGTACTTCCTTATAATGACACACTTTATGAAGAATTTTTGTTTCCTGTTTTATCCAGATCGGTCAATATTTACCTTTGGCCAACATATGATCTGCAATCCAACCTCCTAGCACTGAACTGAACATGGTCACAATCCATGGCACAACATTAAACACCCATCCCTACAGCAAATTTATAAATCAATTCAAAATATGATCAATTGATCAATTGTAATTCTTTATCTCACAGCTGATTTTTGTTTGTTTTTATAATTTTTTGTTTGTTTCACATATATTATAAAAGCAAGGTGATTATCTTTATATTTTTATTCAGACAAAACTAAACATTTTATATAAAAAAAAATTCATACATATCAATCACACAGATTATATTTATATTTTCATTAACTTGCCTTCAAAATAAAACACACCAATCCTTGAACTGTACATGTACATTTACGTTGCATAGTAAATAATAATTGTTTAAACGATACGGCCATGTATGCCCCCACCCTCTCCCACTAAACGTAAATTTGAATTTTCTGGTGAATGTACTCTGTTCAAGCCTGAAGAAAAAATCAATAAAATAATTTTCTTTTATAAACATAAAATATTGCAAAAATCAACTACCATAATAATAGTCTAATAAAGAATATTTACTTTTGAATTAAGTAGTGTATATGGAACTGAAGTTGAAGTAAGGAATTGTGAAAAGAGAAGTTTCTTTGACTCTATACTTTGAAGAAGTATTTTGATTTAGCTTGCACATACTGGTATTGTTCAAAAGTCTACTCATAGTACTTAGATCTAATAAGCAATATTCAATTTGATTCAAACAAATTCTTTGCTATGTTTCTCTATACAAAACACTACAGTATTAAGGATCTGTGTGACAAACCAGCATAGTGTATTTTGATCTGATTGAAACCATCGGAATCAGTAAATACTTATACCTAGGTATAGATATAAAGTATAGTGTTTTCAAAATTTTCCCAAGTTAGGAAAAGTAGGAAGGTAGTACTCGTCTGATTAGACAGTGTTTTCATAAATTGTAGTTCATAGTTCTAAAGAATTTGAGATTAATTGTGTGAAGAATATTCAAGTAACAAGACCTATAACACATCATCAATATCTCTACAACTGTCCCACATCAATTTATAGTACCTAGAGCTGTGTTCTCCTTACAATGTATTTATATAGCAGAGTTCCTGAAAACTGGAGTACAAGTTTTGAATTTCCGTGGTTTTGTACTCTCATTTGGCAGTGATGGGGAACACCGAGTAGCTTGTATAAAGCAGCATTTAAAATTGTAGGTTTATTACAGATTAGAATATATTACAGGTTTCTTAAATACTAAAGAGGTATACCATACATCATTCATAAAACATGCTACATGGTGTGAATTAAAGAGAATAAGGCATAAGTCAGTGATAAATCTACAATTCATTTTCACAAGGCCTTTTCAACTTTTACTAATGATTCCTGCGATGTAAAATTTAAGTATTTCCAAAAATTCTGTGAGTACAATACTCAGGACTTGCAAGTAGATTGATCACTGAATAAGTGAGAAGGTTAGTTTTTGATTATTGATAACAGATTGTAGAGCAAATGAATATCAAATACATGAAAAAAAAGACAAAAGGTTTGTATTTCTCAGGAAACTGAGAAATGGACCAGTCTGTATTGTTGTGGTTGTGTCTTTGGGCAAGCCATTTTACACTGATTTCTCTGCATGACACGTAATGGTTGTCTGTATTTTGTTTAACTACTACAAACAGGCCCTGCCACAAAATGACCATGACTGTTCCCAGGGTGATAAACCCAGTGGAAGGCGAAAGACAATTAAGACACGTTACTTACAACTATGACAGAAATGTGCAAATTAAGATGAAAGATTGAATCAAGGAGTAAATTTATTTCAAAACATGGTGTAATTATATATCAAATTGTATGATGAAAAAAATAATGTTCTTTGACAACCATACATGTCAACATTCTTCACTGATCATTTAGATGATCTAAATATAGATCTGATCTATATTTGGATGGGACCTAAAGTTATGCTTACTTGACACGTTTATGGCATTACAGCAGAAGAAATTTATCAAAGAGAAAGTACAATATATGTGATTTATAGAAAGAACTTTGGCAGACATAAGAAACCAGTAAATTCAACTACTAAGAAGTACTTGATAACTTCTGATTTTCATAAGGTCATTAGATTCGCAAAATTAGAACCAAACAACACAGCTGATATACAGTATTATCCCATGCAAAAGGATTCAGTAAAACTAAACAAGGTCTACAGTTAGCATGCCATTACTTTTCATTTCAAGTTTTTTTTTGTCCAGTGAAAACTTTGAAAATAACATTAGATTACACAATGTAGACACATTTGTTTCACTTCAATTTAAATCAATGCATGTTGTGTGTGTAGATATTTGGTTATTAGAAATAAACAAACATACTGTTAGACAGTCAGACACTTCAAACTCAAAGTAATTAGCAAATCTAGATCTACAGAGAATCTAAAATATCAGGCAATGAGGCACTGATTCCCATCAACCATCTGTCATTTTTACCTTAGCATCAGGGAAATTTTCATGAAAATATGTAGGTAACCAGGACAACAGGATAAAAAATGCATTATTTTCACAGAAGTGTCCAATGAGAAGAGACCTGAAAATAGAGAAGGATCATACAAATGTGAAAATTTCTGTACTTTTACCTTGGCATCAGGAAAGTTTTCATGGAAAAAGGTAGGTAACCATGACAACAGGATATAGAAAGCATTGTTTTCACAAAAATGGCCAATTAGTAGAGACCTGGAAGAAATTAGACATGAAAATGAGAAGCCATGTTAGCATATCCAACACAATGTAAATCTGTTGGCCTGTGGTGTTAGCTATCCATGCTTTAGCAATGTCATTATGACTTCATATTTCTTTCCTATTTTACAAAGACTTCAAAATAATCATAAGTCCATTGCCAAAAAAGTCTCTGATAAAGCAATGCCGTCTACAAATGTACCTCCATCGGTCTTCTCTCTAATATAACTCTTAAACTAGAACCATCCTCTGGGGGTTAATTCCCACCCCTACACCCCCTCTCTGCTGTTTCTGAAAATCGGGAATAGCTCAACCTGGTATAGATTACGCACATCTACAATGTATAAGGATTATAGCTAGCAAATATTGTTTCAATTCAGTAGTTTAGGTGGATTGGTCGGTACATTGTTGCATCTACAGACAGATAGACAGTTAGACAATCCAATTCCAGTACGTCCTCCACTCCCCTACCCCTGGTGGGTCCGTTGGTGGGTATTAAATACATCCATCCTTATTGCTATCACAATTAGTATATACAATACTTAAAAAAAGATGATTGTGTTATCAATTTTATCAACTAGAGATAAAACCGGGAGAGGTATCATTAACAGAAGACTATAAAGCTAGTAATTCTACATTTTGTTCATCTGGTACCTTTGATTGAGGGAAATTTTCAATCACATAGGATGGCAACCATGATAACAGTATTTGGAATGCATTCGCACCACAAAAACATGAAAATAGCATAGCCCTGAAATGAAATGAACTTTGTCATTTTAAAAATGCTGTTCAATTAAAATAAGATATGTAATACCCAGGCTGTTACCACCATTAAAAAAAATTAAATGACAAAAAATGCAAAAATACTAGACACAGTCACTACCAAGTGCAGGCACTGTAATTATTTGATATGAGAAAATATTAACATTGCATAAAACAATTTATTTTAATGAGAAATCCTAGTGTGATCTCCGTTTGATGTTAGACAGATCATCGAAATCTGCTCTTTTCCCCCAACATTTTTTTGTACATCTGAAATTGTTATATATGTAGTAGTGTATTACCCAGTAATCAAGTGTAGTAACATCTAAAATGACAATAAGTAAAATAGTTTAATGAATTCAAATATCACATTCACACTGGTCATTGGGCTAAAAGCACAATTTGGATACAAAGGTAACCTGTATTTAACTTTTCCATAAAGTCTCATAATACACCTTTCATTACTTCTTGGGAAATAGCAGTAAAAAAACTTCAAATAAATTGTTCTGCTGGAAGCCACTTTGAATGTCTGATAATGTTACACATGTAGTAAGCATAACTATGACACATATACAGACTAAGACACATATACAGACTATGTTGATGGAGTTTAAAGAAGACATTCTGGCATGGAGAAACAATGCTTATAAACTTAATACATAAAAGTCAAAATTGATAATGTTGATGGAGCTTCAAGAAGATCCAGCAATTCTGTAATAGCAACAATAAAAACCTTCACATGTCAAAATCTACGACCCAAACATTTCTTTATGCTGATGGACTGACAGACAGATAAACCATTTCATTTTTTTCTGCATTTTCTTCTCTTTTCTTATTGATTTATTCTGTCTTTTCATTCCACACTTAATTCCTAACTTAACTGATTCATTTCTTTCTTTCCTTTCCTATCCTTTAAAATTTTTTTGATGGTTCACAGTCTTTTACTGCACGGCCTGTATGAATTGAAATTAAAACAATATTAAGAATCCTTGTCTTCCTTTTTTTTTTGTTCTAAGTCACAGAATGTATGCCACTATCTCATATTTCATCCTAAGTATTAGAGGGCAAATACTCACCAGAATGCAGGTTTGACAAAGAGTGTAAGCCAAGGTACTGACTTCTCTGTCTTGTGGTTGACTTTCTGCCCAATGCCCTCTCCAGCAGATACTAAAGGAATATACTTTTTTCTGTGTTTCTCTATCAATAAATAGCGCAGAAGTAGCATCCAAGTTATACTACTTAGACCTGAAAAGACATAAATATTTATTTGTTTAAATTAATCCAAATAATTATATACCATTGTACATTTAGTAAACATCCCATACAGCAGAAAACTAAACTAAGTTTAAGAAATGTGTTTTTCGGAGAGAACTTCACTCTAGACTAGTGCTCTGGGCTACATTATCTGTGGTATGAAAAATACTTACGATTTACTAAAAGTTCAGAATAGAATAATTTTATTTACACTAGCTGTATATACTGTATATAACAACTATATTTGCATCTGTTTTATTAGTTAACATCAGAATACCATTTACTTCTCAAAATGTTTTTTTAATGCTTCTTCATACTATTCTATGTCATTTTCGTCTGATTTTATCATTTAATTCATATTGCTCTTGGATTATTCCATATTGTTTATTGTATGCTTATATGCACAACCATATATAAAAGAAAGTGAGGAATTCCCAGAAGGATATTACAGAATGAAAGTCAGAATTCTGATGGCAGGATACTTTTTTTTTTCAACAGGCGTAATATTACTAAAAAATTATTGCATCAAAATTTTCCATAGTTTTGTGCAACCAGCAGGTCACACTATGTCAAAATTCACAAGCCTGGACCATCGGACAAGGTGCTGATTTGTAATGTCATTTAATGGACTTCGGTTTAAGTATTAATTAATGTATGTTAATAGGTATCTTGGACTGATCCAGTTCACATTGTAGAATAAAAGATAAACATCAATTTAATTCTCATATATCTACTGGATGAAGAAAAATTGTGCAATATGGTTATTTATTTTGGGATTTAATGTATCAATTTTAAGTAAGTGCTGATGGCTAGAAAAATTTGACATTGACTTTAAACTTAAGTAATCTGATAAATCTAATTTATTATCAATTTATGGATATCTTTAACTCTTGGGAGGAATTAAATATTCCGTTTTCACATACACTTAAGTAATAATATCTCATTTTTCTTTTTTTCTTTCATTTGGTACACAACAATAATTGAAAAATTGTACTGTAATTGATATTTATTTCATCCAAAATTATTTCTTATGACTGATGTCAACATTCTCTTTCAAGTCAATTTTGACAAAATCCTTCCACAGTAAAATGGTTTTGTAAGTGTGTGTCATCTTTGTAAACTCACCTGCAAAGTAAAATACACTTTGCCAGCCATATTTATCTAAAAGTATAGATCCTATACTGCCACAGAGCAAGGTGCTGCAGAAAGAAAAACAAGTTATAACATTTTCATATAACAGACAGAATAACGATGAAACCTTCTAACACAGGCCTCAAACATAGCAGTTATTGTCAATAACACTTATCTCTGAAGAAAATAATTCCCTCCATACAACAAATTAAAAGTGTAGCAAAGATATTGAATTATATTGAATGTTTAAGTTATCTTTCAGATAAAAACTGTTCTTGAACCAATCAATTTTTCTTTAATGACCATTAATATTTCCCCAATGACCCATTAAACATTTCCTATGAATACATTAGCAACAATTCACTCAAAGTTAACATTTATTTTGCAGACTATTTATTATACCAAACTAAACTATGATTATGCCAAATGCTCAAAAGTCAGTGGATGTAGTGAAAAAAGCCTAATTGATATATAAAAGAAATGCTAGGGCAAAAGAGGGGAAACCACGTAGCCACAACCAGTCTAGCAAATATCTAAATATCATTTTATAATGATGATAACTTGTTAATTATTTGACAACCAAATACATACATATTTCATTTAGAAGTAACTTGACCAAAAACATAGGATTCTTATCATAATCAGCTGGGGAAAAACAACAAGCAAAACATGTTAACTTTTGTCTGACAAAGAACCAAGCATGTAATAATTGCAAATTAAAGTATAATTTTGAAAAAGCCCTTCACATAAATTACAAAATGACTTTTAAATGACCCCATGATCAGGAAACAAAATACTTATCAAAATATTTTTCAAATTTGGAATACAGGGGTATTTTGTGTTATGTTTGATTCTTAAGTGTAGTATGGATATATCTTTTATGTAAGCACTTTACAGTAGAATGATGTGGCTGAAGAAGAAAAGGGAAAAAGCGAAAGCAAAATTACCCAAGATGGGATCCTGAGCAGATGAAGCTGTAAGTTAAGGAGCGCTCTTGTTCTGACACTTTCCTTGACACCACGGAGCTCATACTAGGATAGTGGAAACCTGACAGGGGAGAAAACTCAATTACTAACTAGTAATATTTGTTTTGAAAAATAAACCATGGTCTGTGATCTGTGTATTATAGATAATCCACAATGTAGTGAATGTCTGAAGTCCTTTTTCTTCATCTTTGTGACAGTCTTGAGAGAACTAAAATTGTATTTTCAGAAAAACACAATAGCATTACAAATTGTACTGTAACATAGGAAAGTTGTTTTTCATTATTGAAATCAGCTAAATAATGTACTAACAGAATTCCACTTACTTCTGGAGAGATACCACAGGTTGAATACAATAAAATTGTATTGTATAAAATTGCCAAAAATGTCCTATTTTACAGTACAATTTCATGTTTGATCGATTCTCCCCTGCTAGATTAGATCAGTCTGACTGATATACAGTGTTGATTTCTGTATTACAGGTGCTGTAAATGAAGGAATACAGAGTTAATATAATATAGAAAACAGTTTTGACCCCTTTTTTTCGTAAATAATGCTTTGTTTAGAATCCTTTTTTTTTTCAATCTTTATTTTTCAGGATATTAGCAGCTTATGCCAGCCCTTCAATACCAATGACCTAAAAACAGTTTCATAACTCTTATACACATTTTCTTTCCAAAACATTTAAAACAGATTTTTTCAAAAAAGAATCACAATGTTAATCAAAGTCAATCAGGATGATGATCACTATGAAGTGAAAACACAGAAGTTGACCCTTTCATTATGAAGTCAGAAAACAATACCTGCTCCTCCATACTTTTTAATTGAATTCAACTGACTGAAGGAACATTACATGTATTAAAGAGCGTTCTGTCTTTGATTTCATAACAAGTAGGATGAACTTCATGCAAACATAAGGGATTTTCCAGCAAAGCCTGTACCTCTTTGGAATTCAAAAATAATTCCCATATCTTCATGTTTGGTTTCCTGCCAATCAGTGGTGTGTATATCAAGAATTACATGTTAATACTTCTCTGATTCAGTGTACTATAAAAAAAGCTGAAGTCTGGGGAAGATAGATGCTTTACTGGAATAGTCCTAGGGTAAGATTAAACATTGTAATAGAGTAAACATCTAACAAAATTCTAAAGAAATAAATGTCACTAAATACAGCATAGATTTACTATAAGTTTCACAATAACTTAATTGTTGATGTGTTGACATAATATCTTCAACGTCACATGAGAATGATTTTAATGTTATTGTTTACAAAATGCTGTGTATCAAAATAACAAAGTGACAAAGTTTAAATAGATGCTTGGTTTTGATATTATATAGGCAACATTCTAACATTTACAGAGTGTATGTCTTCAAGCTGAGTGAAGAGTGTATGACAAGTAAAATATCCATTCATACACCAGGGTATTTAATTACCTATAACAAACCATAACTTGGGTGTGACATCTCCTGGGTGTATTTCATTTTCTTAATTCGCAAAGTGGTATCATGATCAAAATCACCAAAATACACAAAAAATCTCTTTTCAGACCTTTTTTAAAACTTGTCAGTGAGGATAAGAAATGTGCACATATTTCTATACAAAATGCTAGCTATACTAGTTGTGTAAAACTTAACTTTTGATGTTTTTGTTTAAATCTTGAAGATAAAATCTTATATGTAACACTTCAACTTTTTGAATGATATATAGATAAAAACAAAATTATATTATACTAGATTAAAAGTTAAAGTTTGATTGTGAAACTTACAATATTCTATAATAGTATATTTTCCACACTAGATACATGTAGTAAACACCCTTATGTCACTATCTGGCCAGCTTAGCAGATATAAAACATCTGGCAGCATACTGATGAGATTTTCATGAAGGTTTTGTATATTGCTGTGTTTGATAAAAAAAAACTGCAAACTTTTCCAAAAATCACTATGAAATAGTATACATATGTATTCTATGATTACTTTATGGTCACTCTCTGACCAGATGATTACATCAGCTGTATCATATATTTGAAAATAAAAAAGCATCATTTTTTCTTATATGTTTCTTTTCTATCTAACTTACAATTAATAAGAAAGGTCAGATATATCACACTAAATTTTTTAATTACAGATGTATTAAAATTTTGACAATATCTTCAATTGTTTCAACTTTGCATCAAAAGAAAGTTCTTTTTTTATACATAGAATTTGATTCAATATTTGTAATACAAAAAAAAAATCTTTTACTTTGAAAGAAGATCAACTACTCCATGAAACTCCTATCTGTAGACACTAATGCATGATCTATTGAATTTTGTATGATAGTGCAACTAAGATGACCAGTTAGTGGCATTTCAAAGACATTTCAATCTTGTGATGCTGGAGTGTAAAATTATGTCCATTTAAATTCCATCCTTTAAGAAAATAGTATATGCCAGGCAGCTGGCACACAGACTCACCCAAGGTATTGGCCTGTGGCGATGAGAGCTGAGTAGAAGGATTTCATCTCAACTGGTATGAATTGACCAACCAGACTGGTCATGCTAGGCATGTATATACCTAACAATATTGTAACAATATAAACATTTGTTGGTGGTATGTTAATACTAATGTTATAACATATACTTTAGATTAAAAAAATCATGAAATGATCAGAAATGAGATGATGTAGTTATCCTTAAACAATTAACAAAGTGTAAAAATTCATACCTAATCTATAATAAAACCAGGAAATATTAGCAATGCCCCGACTCTTCTCTGATTTATAAATATTGGATCTTAAATGAGTTTTCATTTCATATGTGATTTTGTGAATCAAGTCTTATTAATTCTTTTTTGTGAATCTTCACAAGCAAAGTTTAAAACTTTTAAGTGAGTTTCATAAAATCTCACGAAACGAAAACAAATTAAAAATGCTTTTATCACATAACTAAGAAAAGTTACATTTTGACAGGTTTTAAACTCAAATTGTGAATGATGAAATCAAACTGAAGCAGCCATTTTGTTTGCTTTTTTCAATTCATATAAAAACTAGAAAATGTCTGTAAGACATGAATGCCCCCGCCCCCCCATTTGAAATAATAGTGAAAGGTCCAAATGAAGTTGTTAGGTGGTATATACTGATTTGGGACGGGACGGGACGGACATGGGCAACGCTATATGCCCCCGGCCATAAATGGCGGGGGCATAAATACTGCTGATCCCTGACTGAAACAGACACTAAATCATGCACTGGGGTATATTAAACTAGTGACATATGCAAATATATTACATGAGTGAATTCAGTGAATAACAAGCCGATTATGTGATAAAATAACATTTACAATAATGATACCCAGAATAAGGACCCTGACCTTAATCTTTAACCATAGACTGTGACATGCAATATTGATACATATTCATGTTTAAGATTTTATGGTTGTCTGAAGATGTTGAGTCTTCACCCAGGGGCATTCAAGTGTAACGTCATTCACAAAAGTTTCATACATGTAACATCAGTCAATATGTAACAAGTTTATATCTTGTTATATTGGAATTTTAACTTCAACATTGATTGTGACCTTGAAAGTTGGCCTATGTGATGTAAATGTGAAAAGCGAAACATAACTACATTACCTGTGGTAATATAAATGTATGCAAAGCTTCTATCTACAAATATGAATGAGTTAAGAGTAGGAAAAGAATATGGAAAAAAAGACACAACATTTAGTGATAATGCACATGACATGTAATGTTGGTATCTTAATCTATGAAAAAATGAAGGCTGCAACAAGAATCTTCAGGATATATCGCTGCCCTGCCAGCATTTTTCCAGTAAAACATAAGGGCCTTATAAACATGTATGGAATGACATTTACTAAAAATCTCTTTACTTAGGTGACAAAATTGAAGCCAGCTGTAATGAAAAACCATGAATGTTGATAATGTCAAAAGTATACTGTTAATGTTTCACCATACCAGTAAAACCTGGTAAATCTGAACACTTACTAGTCCTGTAAAGATACAAGCAATAGGAAGCACACAATTCAATGCAAAAAAAAATAGGAGGAAATGAAGTTACCAATAGATTACTGTCATTTTAGACAACAGGTGTTATATTTTCTAACTAAATTAATGTTGCCTCCCTGCAAGCATTCTAACCATCAGCTTGATATAACATCTGTTACCCTCAACATCAGTCAATAGCTGCCTTTTGAATTTGAAAAAAAAAAATCCACTGCCAAAGAATCCTTCAGTGGTCTTATCACATGTACATTTTTGATGTAATCAAAAAATTTTCCAATTGAAAAATAACACAAATACAATCCTGACTGAATTCATTCTTATCTATATAGTTTATACATAAAATTACTAAACCCCAATCAATTATTACCTTGAAATATCCCAAGGAACACTCTTGAGACAACAAGTATGTGCAGCGTGAGGTACTTGTCAGTGGACAGATAGGCTAGCTGTGGTGTCCAGAAGGTGATCATGGACCAGAAACAGGCAGCAATGGGCATGACCACATCACCGCCCACCTTATCAGCCAGGTAGCCTCCCAGGAACTGTGTCATTGTGTACCCCCAGAAAAAGCATGACAGTACTGAGCCCTGTAAGCAATTTAAACAAAATCAAACTGACATACTTATATGTGTTTTATCCATATTTCATTACCATCTAATACATCAAAGTATTCTACAGTTTAAAAATAAACAATATTTGATTTAGTATGCCAAAACATCTATAAAAGCCACACCTCAAAACTTTTTTAAAGTTGTTTGTCTTTAAGACATATCATAAAGTCCTCATCAGATCATATATTAAATACCTGGCAGAATGATAAAAGAAATAAACAAATGTTCAATCACTTATTGGCTTTAAACTAATTACTCTTTGTAGTATGGGACATAAAAGTTTTCTTAATCATTAAGTGTTCTTCATTTTTTTCTCTTGACATTGGAAACAACTTCTCTTTCTTTCAAAAGGTCTCAACCCACAATTGAAGAGAATTGCTGATAAAACATTGCTGTAATTGCTTATACATACTATGGGATGAAAACATTTCAACATCTTTTTAATGTTACAATTTAAAGATTTTTGTAATATACAAGTAACGTTACATACGCTCTGTGTTTTGTCCCAGCCAAATTCCTTGGCCATGGAAGCAACAACCAAAGGTGTGACTGTCCGACAAGCATAGAGGACCCCACAACCAGCAAACAGTCCTGTGGCCCATTGCTTTCTTTCTGTCCTGTGTAAACAGAAAAAAAATATTCACATTAATAGCTAATTAGTGTTCACTAATCCAATTTCATATGATAAACTAATTGTAAGACTGCAGACAACAATTTTTAGCTTCTTTTAATTTTTGCTCCTGTCTAGAATTTCATGATATTTAGCACCTTAAAACTATCTAAAAGCACTCAACATTTGAAAAAAAGGTGTAACAACACAATCATAGCTTTAAAATATTGATGTTTTCTCTGAATGGAATAACTATTTCATGGAAGTAACACTGAATGGAATCAACTATTTGAGGGAAGTAACTCTGCTTAAATTTAAGTAAAATCTATTCTTAAAATAAGGGTGGACATTCCAAAGAATGGTAAAACAAGTGCTTGTACAAATAATGTACTCAGTGTTAAGAGATGACATGATACATCAGCATTGATCACTAACCATCTCATTACAGGTTTTAACTATTCTATTAACAAAGAAATGTCCTAAAAGCCATTTTAATTGTCCTAAGTATGGTATTTTTTCTCCTATTGGCTAACAGCAATTTTCACTGTTCACTACATAAATCATGTCTGCTCTTATACATTTATAATTTTCAGTTTCTCTCGAATGAGTACATGATCTATTGTTAGTGATCAAGTGATGGTTACACATTCCAAATGAATATTAGTTAAAAAAAGTATAAAAGGCAGTCCTAACATAATGTTTTGCTGGCTATTGAAGCTGCCATATGGGGACAGACTGCAAAATTCTACTGAATCTTTTATGCTTCTATGTTTCTACCTCTAGATCCTAGTCCTATATCATAAGACGTCGCTGATCAGCCTATTACCTGATGTTATTGACTCTATTTATAGCTTAGAATTTCATGACAACTATGTGTACTTACGGTTTATCTATACAAATCCTCAAATCATTATGATATAGAATCTAAACAATCATTTTCCATAAAAGAGACTCCCAACTACAGTCAATGGTTGTGTTGATCAGGCATTAAAATATGGTGGCTTACAAAAATCAATCGAGTCAACTATACATAGCAAATAGTAACAACAACTGGAAAGAAAATTCAGTATTATTTCCGATCTGCATACTTGCATATCATTTTCATATCATCCTTTCCGTATCGTTACTGGGGAGACCTAGTGTTGATGTTTCATCAGCTTTACATTGGAAGATGAATTAGAATAATTTATTTATTCATTTTTCGGGGTTTTATTTTGTCATAAATTTGTGGTAAGAAGTAATTACTTGAACCCGTTTCATCATTCAAATCTATATGAAAACGTTGTGTATTATCAAAATCTTAACTTGGAAAATGTGACTGTCGGCATGAGGAGGTTAATTACACGTGGTCGGTGCCTGTCTTAAGTTTCTTGTTGTGTACCCAAGATCCTTAACTTTAGAGATTTTGAATGTACTGTCATTGTCAATAGAGGACTGATTGCGGCGTTACTGATCGCCTTGGGGTTTATGTTATCCTCCGAAAACTCAATGCTTTAATTTACTTCGTTTCTGAGCGAATCATAATGTTCAACAAATCCTTCTAAGTCTCGTTAAATCATTTTCTGTTGTAGGGTGTCATTCTAGGGGTGTCTGACTTTGACGGTGTTATCGAAATAAGAATCTGATTCTATGAAATGACAGTATTGGTTTATATCGTTAAAAAGATTAATCTATCAACTACCATCGAGACATTCGATCAGTCTCGCCTTAAAATTAAAAAGCGCAAATTACTTTCAGGTATCGTTGGGTCACAACGCAATCAATGGAGCAGGACATTTATGACAGCTACTGCCTAAAAACGGAAAAAGACAACTCACAGTATGTCTGAAACTTCGAAAGAGATAAATATATGTGTACCTATTCCAATATTTCCTATCCAGTCCCTTCACATCGTCTGTATCACTGATAGGAACTTTTATCTGCTTGTAGACGTCATCATCACGCTTCGCCATACTTCGCCAAGTCTGGGTCAATAAGACGTTTCTGTCGCTGTTGCTACAACGCTTTTGTTCCTTTAAGGCTGCACGCCACTGTAAGAGGAACGAAAAAAATATTAAAATACTAAAAATCAGACAATCACGATATCACCTGTTGAAAATGAGTATATAATGTTTATCAACACGTTACAAGAAGTGTTGTTTCACGACATTATTGATATCAGTTGTCAACACTTGATGCTTACATTTTCTGACAGAAATAACGAAGTGGATATGCAAGCTAATCGCCTTCAGATTCTCCTTTCTTGTTCATCTTTATTCGCTAGCTAATTACTGTGGTGCTTTGCTAACTTTGATTTCCCCCTCATATTGATGAAGAATATCAATTTTTGGCTCAACCCTAGTGGCAAACGAGTGGATCACAATGATTTAGTTTTAAATTCATTTTCAAAATGGCCCTATCGAGGGTAAAATATTGATATATTCATTCTAAAAATCTGGTATCGTTCACGCAAATGGAATTGTTGTTGTTTTGATGCTTATAATCCTTCTTGGCACAATTAGCTGGTGGTTGTATGCTAAAGATTAAAGATGGATGCCTTTTTCGAGTTTTCCACTTCTAATATCTGCTGCTTCCAATCAATTATAACGAATATCTTGCCTAATATTCCCCTTAAACTCTGTGTCATTATTTATATTATGTAATACTTGAAACAGTTTTTTAGGATTATGACTAAAATCAAAAGAATGTATGGTTCTGGAATTGCTCACCTGATCTGCAGCTTAAAAAGAATACTTTGTCAGATTGTAAATTCAATTTCTGCAAGCTTCAAAGTCCACTCCAAAGATGTTTATTCCACAAATGCTATGACCCAAGGCCTATTAGATGTTGAAAAACTAAGAAATCAAAGTTCTTAACACATTTGACACCTCTGATCTTGAAAAGACAGGCAAGCAGGGTAAAGGATAAATTTTCAAATTAAAGCACTCGCGCAATATCGCCTGTCGGATTACAGGCCTGCTGAAAAGTACTCCTCAGAATTCACTAGTACGAAAAGCTGACATATAAAACAATAGAACATGCTATTTAACAGACACATTTAAAATTTATTAAGTGAAGGTTTTGTTAAAAAGGCCTCCAACAACATTCAGTGTCATGAATAAATGCAATGATTGAGATAGTGTAAACATCATTAAGTATGCTATGCCTTGTGATGAATTGTGAGATGACAAGGAACTGTCAAACACAAGAGGTCGAATAGACCTGTATTGCTTACCTGGCCTGTTGATTACAAGGAACTTTTTGTGGAATCGTCATTTCGTTATAATTTTGCATGTTTGATTAAGCCTATTTCCCAAGAATGCTATGACACAAACATATAATGACACTGTGTTGTGGGTTAACGAAAAGATGTGATTTTAACACATTCAACCCAGTTGTCATCAACTCCTGAGACTGCGTTTTGTCCTGAAATATAGAACATAATCTTGACCCTAGATTTCTCATTTACTGAAAAGGGTAAAGATTTAAACACATACAACTCCTTGAACCTTTATAGTGGGTAAAGGTTATTTGTTTGAACATAAGATGTAGCTCTTTATCTCAGCATGCTACAAACTCAATATTAGCAATACCCTAGGTCTTTAAGAGGGTGGTTACTGAAACAAGTTGTTTAAAAGGAAAAGTTGATGCCAGACAGACAATAGACACCATGTCATGGCATAAGCCCATCAACATCTCCATCAAGTGGTTAGCAAATTATACATAACCCAGTGTCAATCAAATGGAGATCAAATAGAAAACAATTTTATGCGCACTTGTGAGATTACAAGTACTGTCATTGTCAATGCATGCAAGGCAAAGTTGAACTTGCTCAATGAATTATCTTTATCAGCTTGACGACCCCACCTGGTCATTCAATCAGATCTGCCCCATTTCAAATTTTGTGTGATGCAACACTTGCCGTAAGAGACCAGCAACATTTTTCTGATCAGTCTGAAAATCAAACAGTCACAATGGGGGATCAAAAGAAAGCCTACATATGAAATCTGAGAAAGATCAATGAAGTGCCTCTTCAGAAATATTGATAAGAAGCATGAATGGATGAATGGCGATTTGATCAGCATACCATGCCATGATGGTGGGCTAAAAATTTGAAAGCAAGTACTTGACACTCGGACTGAAATGTCCTATATACCAACTTCAATCTGATTGAAAGAGATAGAATCCAAGTTCTTTATTATCTTTAGCTTTATGGCTAATTGGTTCAAAGAATAACTACAAGCACAAAATACCAATACCTAATGACATTTACACAACATCCATCCAACACTTTGTACATCAACACACAATAGACCAAGATTCTCTTCAGCATTTACTTCTTCTACCACAGTGATAAATTCCCCTAAATTAACAATGTCTTTTTTATTACTTGTTGTTAGCAACTGTACTAGTTTAAACACACAATGGTTTCTTGTATGATTGCTTTGGTGGGAGTTTCAAACAATGTTTCAAAATACAGACATTTAAGAACCAAGTGAAATTTAGCTTCAACATCTTCTAGACTACAAAACTGTACATAATCTGTTTCTATAGCTAATGTCATATCTACCGATTTCTGCATTAAATTTGTTTGCAGATAATTGTATTTTCATTATGCCTTTAAAATATGGTTTATCAATTGCTTTCTATGACATATATGTTTATGTAATCCTTTACTACAACTGCATTCTGCATGTTTATGTTACATGTAGCTGTGCACAAATACGCTAGCACTATAAATTACCATTATTTTCACATTTCTTTCCATTGAAATTTTAGACAAATTAAAATTAGAAGCCTTTGAAATTTACGAGTAATCATAAATTGGACTGTTTATAGAGTTATGTATTGGATAAATCATTTGCAGACACATATGGTCAGAATCTGACAATCTATGACCAATAGATAATTTCTTGAATACCCCATATTTCTCTATCAACATGGTCCCCAGGACTTAGACTTTTCCAGGCACTTCTGTCTAATATGTCAATGAGTCTTTCTTTGAATATTGGGATAATCTTTTCCCCTTATTGACAACTTTTACATTGAAATAAAATGACTGAGTATATGCAAGCCCCAATAAATACATGCACATCTCCCGAATGTATGCTTTTGAACAAGAAAACAAAGTGGAAAAAGAAAACATAAAATGTAAAAAAAAAAATTAATAACAAAAATAACACCTGAAAGCATTAAAAAATTTATTCAGTTTAATAGATTGATTATTAACATTCTGAATTCTTTATAAATATTCAATTAATACTTTCCAACACTTTATAAGCATCTTATGACATGCATATCCAACACGATCTTACTGCATGTGCATGTAATATGACAGGGTGATAAAATAAGGTTATACTGCTTCAACCAATATTACATACAAACATAGGTATCCTAACATTCAACAAATCTTATCCTTCTTAAAAAAATATGTACAATTATAGCAGTGATATTCAAAACTTTTTTAAAAATCATGTCTATACACACTAGTTGCAGCTACATTTCTTTCTCAAGCATTTTTTTCATCTTTTTATATTCTGATATTATTTCTTGGTAGTGAAATTTCTCTGGCATATGGTTGAATAGGCGAACTAGGTTGAATCGCTCCACTCCTGGTTGACTATAGTACATTGTCATCTGTTTCACTAAAATTAAAGCTTCACTTTTTGTCTGAAATAAAGAAATTGAAGATATTTTTCATTGGTTTCAAAAAAAGATAAGACAATAGTGACCAGGTTATACTAAATTTATTCAACATGTTTGACAATTTTTGTCATATGGCACAATCCTTTTGGATGAGTGTTGTGTCAAACCATTCAACAAGTTTATCTGATATATAGATTATTGATATCATATAAATAATAGCATAGACAAGAGTTTAAGATTCTATTGGTCACTGTCAAATCTGTTTTAAATAGCAATTTTTACAACTTGTATCAAGCCAGCTTTGCATGCAGTTTTAACAATATAAATCCTGTTTTTCTTGTTAAAACATGATTATTTGAAATGCATAAGTTGAAAACATACACTGTTTATTGTTTTATATTTTAGGTCAAGATTTGTTGACTGGTATAAATGGATTCCAGATCATAACATTATCAATGTATTATATGTATATATGCCATAGAAGTGACTTAATACAAACATTACAACACTAGATTCAGGCATATATGTATCAGATCAAATAAAAATAAAAGTATCAGATGTGGTAAAAGTTATCTTACCAGAATATCACTGTTATATTGGCCAGCCATCAGAACGATACCTGTAAAGAATAATTATACAAGTATATACATACACATACCAAAGGGATTTGGCTTAAAGGTCACTCTGAGAGTTGCAGCCTAATCGTCTTGGAACACAGACTTTCTTTTTTCATTTTTGTCGAATTCAGAAAGAAGATTATGCAATAGACTTGTAAGTACGCAATATATCTTATCTATAAAATATCATCCATTTATATATGTGGGTTATAAACATAATGCACAATAACTCTGTGAACTTGAACAGAAAACATGTGGGACAGGTCATATCCTAGAAGAGAATTTTGACAGATATGTTAATACATTCTGTATTATAGCAATGTGTAGAATAGCAGATACACCTTTACATCAAATGCTGACACTGATATTGGTACATGTAACATTATAAACTAAAATCCTCTCTTACATACCGGCATAAAAGCTCATTAAAGCAGACAATGTGATAAAATATATCAAACCTTTTTCTTGTTTAAGTTCCTGAAAATGAGTGAGCGTAAGACAGGATAAGGCTTTTTCTTTCTGAGTCTGTAAAATAGAAAAGGCAGGTTAATACTCCAACTTTCTTTCAGGTAATTAGCTGTACCTGTTTTTATGATAGATATTCACAGAAAATTATTTTTAAACCTAGAACATTGCATTATGCATCCGTATATTCACTTACTAGAAGAAAAGTGTCTCTGTCATTTATGAAGATCTGTCTTTCATTTTACCAAAAAAATTATTTCACAATAAAAAACTTATATTACAGACATCGAAATGATCTTTCTTTGGTGTATATAGGTAAGCAAGAAACTGATACTTAAGTCTTTTAGTACATACTTGGTACATTATTAAAGGTGTAAAGTACACATCTTTCCCACTGAATTGTGAAAGGATAAACTCAAATCCATCTTGTCGTGGTAGAGGGTACACAAACTGAAAGGTACACAAAGTTATCAGTGACAATATCAATTTTAGACACTAAACCAATTAAAATATCATAATGTTGTATAGTAGCTTTCTAGTACCTACAAATCTTGACGTTTCCCATTAATAACATAAATGACAGCAACTTATTCAAGATTTATGTATCAAATGAATGATGTTAACAATAGGACATATTAGGGACAGCTATATCCTTGAAAAAATGTCAACATGTATATATGTATATAACAAGCATGTTAGTAGGTTTATATTCAACATAATAAGGGACCTTGAAAGGATCTTGGTTAACACAGCACTTTACTTTTTTTAATCTAGAAAAAATTATTCTACATCCCAAGCTTCAACTGTTGAATTTCATAATGGGCACAAAATGACCATATTGTTGTTAATTCAATCATTCTCATTACTCAAAATGCATATCATAACTAGCTACTGGTATAATGACTGAAACCAACATAAAAAAATATTTGAGAAAGGTTCATAAATTGAAGTGCTTTAACAGTTTTATGAGAGAAAGTGAAAACAGCTGTTACCTATTTAAATCAAAGATAGACATCTGTTAGCTATCTGTTTTCCTTATCCATATTTATATTGACCAGGTAACTAGCAGAACAAGAGACCAAAAGGCACATGTTAACATATGATTAAAGTAGAAACTTATGTGTGAGAAGACAGATCCACCTGTTTGCCATTCTGTTTTTAATCAGTCTCGAAACTCAATTATTACAACACAATGGGGACCAAAGGAAACCTATAAATACAATATGCTAGACTGAGGCACTTTCTGTACTTCTTCACAAACACCAAATAAAACAAACTGCTTTAGGACAAACAGATAATGAAAGAAGTACAATTTGAAAAGCCTATAACAAATGATGGTGGCTAGAAGTTTTGATGATTATGGGAAAAGAGGCACTATCTTTTTTAAAAAAATCAGATAAATACATTTTTCTGATGAGTAACTCAAACATACTTGGTAAATAAAAATGTTTCATGGAATATTGTATTGGAATTTTACCTGTGAAGTCAATAAGATACTTACGACTGGACACACCCGAGCCTTCTCCATTAAATACTCATAATCCATCTCCTGTAACATACAACCCCTCAAATGTTTACTACTTTAGGAGCCAAATTTAAAAGAAGCCACAAAATAATGAGCTAAATACCAGCATTAACAGAGGTGATCTACTCTATCAGGCTGGTATGATCTGTTCTCTGTGAATTTCAACTTTTCTGCTTTGATACAAAATCTCATAAACAGAAATTCTCTGTTAAATATAGAATTTTGTTTGTTTAAAGTTGATCCACCAACTCTTAAACTAAATAAGAAACAATTAAAATAACAAGACTTTGCTGTATGTACATGATATACACTGTCTTATATAATGCTATTTTTGTATAAACATCTCCAACATTAAAAAAATGCCAAGAAACAAGACCAAGGAACAATTGAAAGTGAACAACACGTCCTTTTGGTATATCATAACAACACAGTGACATATCTATGTGCATACCTGTAGTACATAGTCCTTTCAAAATAGTACTGGATCATATAGCAGAGAAAATTATTAGCTTACCTTGACAACACCAAATACACAATCTTTAGATACGTGGTATTCTTTCCATATCTGTAATAGAATAATCATTGTTAAAACAATTGGAACTTTTCATTTAGACAAAGAAGATATATTCTGTATAGCCAGCATGTTCTCTCTCTAAATCAAGTAAAAAAATAAAATAAAAATACAAAACAAAAACAAAACAATACACAGACACAAAAAGCAATTTGATATGAAATTGTGATAATGCATTTTTTTTAACTCATTTCCTTTATATTACAAATGTATACTAATATCAATTTTTGTTATCTAAATACCATCACTGAAATAAATTATAAACCTGAGAATTAACCATCAGTATTACAAACCACTGATGTCTGTCATATTCTTAGATTCCATACATAATTTGTATATCTTGATGTTTAAAAATTATACATTACATGTTCAATTTGTTCTGGGGTTCTGTCCTTTAGTAGGTCCACCTTCATGATTTCATGTAAACTCTAGATAAAAAAAAATCTTTGTAAAGACAGCAAAAATAGTTTGTGGCATTGCATTCAATAGATTGTAGACACACATTCTATAACTGAATCCACATTTTTGAATATCCACAATTATGATCTACTTGATAAACTATTTTTTTAATGGGATTTTAAAGAATTTCTTCTATTTCCACTATTAGTCCCTGTTTCTCCCACACTAGGGGGCCAAGACACACAGTTTAAACAAAATTCATACCCCTGCAACCAATGATGCTTCAGACTAAATTTGAGCAAAATCAAACAATTCCTGAAACAGGAGTAACGTTTTAATGAACTTGCAAAATTTCCCCTTTTTGGCCTCACCTCTCAGGCCCTGGGCATTTCTGCATGAATTACATTACCTCACAATTATTGGCATTAGAGCAATTAAAGAAGACAACTCATCATCATGCATTTCATAGTTCCCTTCATATTAAATTGAAATGACCTTGAGGAAGTTGTCATCAACACATGTTCCAAAATCATTGCTGGTGAAAATGAATTATTTTGATATCATTATTAGACTTACTTTAGGTGGCCAGCTGCCAGGGATGGCCCCTTTCTGTGATCCACTTTCAGGATTTTCAGGATCTACAGGAGGTGGGGCTAAGTCTTTCCTCAATTGTTCAAGCTCAGCTTGCTTTGTTGCCTCCATTTCGTCCAGTTTGGCTTGGAATTCTTCAGGAGCTTCACTGCAATACATGTCATATTCTTTTACATATTGAAGTAGTTTAATTTCATATAACTTTTTCTCTTTTAGAAATAAAATAGGTATCATTGGAAAGCAACAATTTCAGCAGCTGACTCTTCAATTTCAAAGTATCAACATCCCAACCTTGTTATCATAATAATTGACTAAAACCAGCTTCAAGAATAATCATATTTTCTTTTATTCATTTTTGTCTGAAAAATCATTAAAACAAATTGTTATCATTGTTTAAATAATAGTAACCTTTGTTTTTGCTTTAGCTTCTGCTTATACTTTTCAAAGAATGCATTCTGCTCCAAATCAAATGTCTTAGGTGATTGTTTTGGTGCACTTTCACTGCTATACCGTCGCACTACAGGTGCTTTGGGTAACCCTGCTAAGTCCATCATTGTTGGCCATCTTAAACCACATGAAGGTGAACAGGTCAGCGTTGGTATGGATCTGCTTTTGGAGACAAGGCTACTAGAGATGTGACGATTTGGAAGACGTGACCAACAGGACAGACACACACGTAACAAATTAACCTGAGGCATTACTCCTGTGTCAATGCTGTAGTTCATCAGAGTCCCCGCTAACACATGAAGGCAATCTTTCTGTAGGATCTATCAAAAAATTATGAGAGTCATTTTCAGATTTCATAATCCTGCAGGCACAAATTGCACGAGTCTGACATAAAACATATAAAAATAAAAAGTATTACCGGTATCTTAAATACCTTGACTTTCTCTACAAGAATCATAGTATAGAATGTGCACATCCCAGGAAAAAGTTGAGCTTTGATGACTTCTTTCCTGGAGATGGAGTGCACATGTGTAACTCCAGTAAAATATCTACTGCATAAGCTTCATACATGTATTACTAAGCTAGAAGTCATGGGTTCAATCCATTACGAGAACACTTAAAAAATCAAATTATCTCCCTCAATCAGTAATATTCCTTATAACATTTCATGCTTCACAAATAAAGACAGAAGAATCCATATTTTAGCTTGCATTGTCTGAACATAGGTTTTACAGTGATTTTGTCTAGCATCATCAAATAAACTATTGATCTATATGGAAATGTCTATACCCAGATGATTAGATTTACCTAAAAATGTTACATTCCATTTAAAAAAAAGGGTAAATTTGTTTATTGTGAAATATCCATTATGTTTCATCAATGAATTTATGTACTTTTTCTAAGTACATATATATCAATATTCTTGTTACTGAATTTAACAAATTATCAATAAATCCATCTTGAATGCTAAATGCATGTCATATTGCCTGTCAAATGAATGAAATGTCCATGAATGATTAGACCTTTTTCTTTACAGAAGCCCAAACATGCAATTTGAAATTTTTAAAATTTTCAATAATTTTTTATGACACATTTCTGCTCTTGAATTAACTAGCAAATTGTTAATATTGAAAGGATGAAATCAAAGCTTTATTTAAACATTTTATAATAAGTTTGTATATGAAAAAAAAAAAAAAAATACACAAACAAAAAATTATTATAGTTTTACCATGTAATTATACTTTTAAGATGTGTACTTTGAACCGTTATCTAAAATTCTTATGTAAATGTCATTTTACTTTTAACATGACTCTAGATTCTCTGTGACTCAAAAACATCACTACGACATGGAAGGGTAGACACTGGACCCAAACATGTGTCAAAGAATTTCAGTAAGGAAGTCAGTATTTAACAGAAAATACTGATATTTACAAATAGTTTACTGAACACATTTCATTAAAGGCACATATTTCAATAAGTTACACAAGTACACTTCTTTGGGCAAATTTTGATCACAAGCACATAGATCACTGATTTAAAAGGAAATAATATTTTTTTTAAATATCAAACTTTTGGCTTTCTATGTCAAAACTAAAAGGTCAGTTCTTCTTAAGTAAGAAAACATGTCTTCAAAACAGAAGTTCGTCCCAAAATTGAATATCTCTCATTACTCAACAGCTATCGTATTCACTGTAATATACAGTTTACTTCATCGTACTCGCTACAGAAGCAAACGTCTATTTCGATAGTAAGTATTTGAGTTAATAATAAGTAATTGCATAAAAAATTGTCTCTTACACTTAGAGAATAAAATTCATTGTATGGCAAGCCAGACTGAAAAAATAAATAGGCAATGATATCAATATAGAAAGGAAAGGACATGCGGTTCAATTACATGAGACAACAGTTCAAGTCAATGTAATAACCAAATATTAGATTTGGGTCCGAAACTGATGTACGTGAATTTGAAAAAAAATGTGAGTGGATCAATTTGGTGGTGCGAAGAGATGTGCCGCAGGCTGTGTAAGTTCAATTAAGAAATGACAATAAGAAATGTAGAATGCAACCATTAAATTGTTAATACTTACAGTAATTAGTTGTAGGTCGGTGCAGCAGTAAGTCTGCCACAAGTAGAAAGCATGTACCCGAAAATTCTGTCCTTGTGACTTAAGCGCTTGAATCATATGTGTGAAACCATCGAAGAAAGTAAGGGCCTAAGTGACGATGATATTAAAGCATTTGTTTGAGTATGATCAACGAGTTGGCAATCACAATATGTGTTGTTCTGTGTTTTCTGCGCTGGTCTACCATCATTAACGTGAAATGATATGTTTCGAATGCAATGTCGTTTAGGTAAGGGACTTAAATAAGATATTTTTTAACAGATTGAGATCATCTTTGGACTTGCGAGGATGCATTAAGCATTTAATCATTTGTTTGAGTATGGTCAACGAGTCGGTAATCGCAATGTGTTCTGTGTTTTCTGCGCTGGTCTACCATCATTAACGAGAAACCTCCTTGGATTTGCGAGGATGCACTGTTGTCAAATGCATGCCTTCGAACAGGTTGGGCACAACCCCTCATGTAGTATTTAGTCCTGCATTTCAGGGGATTACTGTATAAATAATCAGTTGGCTAATCAAATAGAAACACAAATTTGCAACACAAAAGGATGTCATCTTTTCAACATTACACAATAGCAAATGTGACAACGTATATACAGTAATTGCATAAAAATATTTATTTCTGTTATCTAACTTTGTGTTAAAATTACAGTCTTTATCCCTGACTTTGTTTTTTTATTGACTACAGTGTGTAGCCAGTGGCAGCGTTTAGTTCAAATGTTATGCATGCATATATATGTATATACATTGTGTAGGTGAGCAAGAGTTTACATTTGTGCAATTTTTAGTCACACTACAGGCAGTTGATAAACAATGGAGGTGATAATTTTTTGTGATTTTTAATAAAAACGAGACAATTAACTTTTTTTTTTGGTAAAAACGTACAATGATGACTTTGGTTATTTGGCCACTTGAAAAATATGAGGCCCTTTTTTGTTGCAAATGTTTGAAAGAACTGTATGTGTTTCTATTTCAAATGACCCAGCATTTGAGTAACTTATGCCATTTTCTCCACTTATTTTTAATCAGCATAATATGACTTACAATGTACATTTACATAAATGAGTCTGGGTTCAAAGGAGAAAAATCTCTTGTAACAAGATCTGAAGGATATGTTGGAGATTCAATGCATCCACATAAACCAAAGGATGTTCCTAGACTGTGTTTCATACTTATTCTTGTTTGGAACATACTTAGAGAGTCTTGACTGCCTGTTGATGATTATTTCTTATTCCACAATGATAATTTTGCAATGAGTGTATTTGCAGACAGGGCTCATTTAATATGTATGATGATGTACAGTACTAATGATCAGTTCAGAAGTTACATATTCAAATAGGAGTATAAAATAAAATTGATAGTACCGCATCTGATAGGTAAGTATGTTAAAACTAGTAGTTGTACTTGAAATGTACAAATTATGTACAAAATGTAAATCAATTAAGTTGATAGAAAAACACAGAGAGTTTTGAGAGATTTTTTATATTTCAGACTTTAGTCCAGGCTAATGTAGAGGCCATGAAAGCAGGATGAATTCCAGCAGTTGTTGGCTGGCTGAAGCACTCCTGTTCAGTTTGTATTTAATACAGACGTCTTACTCAACCTGTAAGTCTCACAATAGCTAATCACATTTTATTCTAAGTGGTTTACTTGCTTTCAGATTCATTCAGTATATTTCAAAATACAATACCTTTTCCATTACAGTACATGTATATAGTAAAATGAAATGTAATTATATCAAAATTTGAGCTGGTTTTTCCCATATACTTAATTTTGAAAAACCATGTTTATTAAGACACACATACTTCTGTTCGTAAATAACAGACATCTGTTATTGAGTTTATAGAGATACACATGGATTATAGGTTAACACAAAATGGCTGTCAACTTAATCTTGCTTAGAAATTGTGATAAGAATGTATCATAATTTATTTATGAGATACACAAGTAAAGGTTCAAATTGTCATGTAGATTAGCAAATGTTTGGGAACTCCTTCAACTTGGTATACACTGTATATCAGTACACTGTATTTTCAACCAGCTTTGCCACCAGTAGATGTCAATGTATGTAGCCCAAACCCTTGTGAGCATGGCGTGTGTACAGCTTTACGTGGATACCAGTTCTACTGTACTTGCATACCAGGTAATTAATATATATAAGAGCTCAGAGATTTTTTTACATTTTTTTTTCTCAATATATTGCAAAATCTATATATAAAAACAGCAAACACAATTCTTAAATTGTTATGTCTACTAATGATAAGGAAAGGAAATTATTAACCTAAAATTTAAACATCTAAATCATAAATGCTGTCTATGCTGGCACATCATCTAAAGGCTATTGGTTCTTTGTTTAGCTAAAACATACCAAGATCATCTAAAATGATACTTTGTGCTTTTTTGCTTAGCACTCAGCACTGAATGTGATGGAAAACAAAAGTCATGCAGATGTGTTGGCTTTGTGACATTTGGGTTATATCACACTATGAAATGGCCTTTGCATTGGCATTATTGGTCCTTGAATGAATTATTGATTAGAGGACATAATACAGAACCAATGGAACCATTATTGTCTATAGAATTTGTGTTATCATTGCTTTACAGACTGGGTGCATTTCTTTCGTCATGGATATCAACACACATTCATAAATAATCATTTCATGTTCATGGTTTATATCTTATCCTTTCTAAGATAATTGTTAACAAAGATAAAGTCTGAACTGAAATCTACTCATTTAATAAACTTTCAGTTATATATGCCAATTTGGATTTTCAGTCATGAGGATACCATACTCAGAATGATCAACTGTGATACAGTATATTGATATTTTTTCTTTCAATTTGAACAGGATATGGAGGCAGTCGATGTCACCTTCTTTTCCATGCATGTGCAACTCACCCCTGTCTGAACGGAGCCACATGTCAGGTCAGTCAGTGATACAATGTGATCTAAGATGTTACTCAGTTGTCTTCAAAAAAGGGAAACAAAACAAATTTGTTGTCACAGGAATAGATCTAAAATTGATTTAAAATTTGTGATGTTCAATAGATTTATAGACAGTTTAATTGGCTCTTTGTTGTTTGTTTTTTCCTATGTGTGCTGACTTGAGCTTATTTCCTTTTTTCTCTGACATGGAATGGTCATCCTGGAGTCATGTACTCACGATATGGACATCAATGTGTGAATGTGCAATAATAATTTAGTTAGATGATTTATTTCTCATGAAAAGAACATTTTGTTTGTTTCAGGTAACTGCTGCAGGCTACACATGTAAATGTGCTGATGGATATGTTGGAAGGCAATGTGAACAAGAAATGGATGAGTGTGTCAGTCTTCCCTGTCAGCACGGAGGAATATGTACTGACAGACAGGGGTCATTTAGCTGTGAATGTCCAGTAGGGTATACAGGTATAAGTTGTAATTATTACTATTTGTAGTGGTATATAAGAGAACATTTATATTTATCATATCTAGAAGGGTATGAAAGAATGAGGAAAAATATGCAGTCCTATACATATATATGAGAAACTTTATGTGATGTACATGTATGTATCGTATTTGCATGAGAGATGTAGGTAGGATTGTTCTGCAAAAGGCACATTAATGTTGCAGATGCTGAATGTGACATATATTTCATGCTTCATATTGTTTATCACAAAGTCTTTTTGGTCAAAGCACTGGTATTAGATAATAAACTATACATAATAAATACCTTTTAAAGTCTTCTTCATATAAAACAAAATAACTTTGAAATATGGGAAAGTTTTTTAATCATTATTGATGTCCGTGTATAACATTTAGTCTTTAGTCCTAACATTATCATTATGTAATATGTTGATGTGCTCTGTCTACAACAAACAGGAGAGATGTGTGAGACAGACATAGATGACTGTGAGTTAGAGCCGTGCCTGTTTGGAGGTACCTGTCAGGACCAGGTGAATGGCTTCAGTTGTGTCTGTCCCCCAGATAGAGCTGGAGCTACATGTGAAAGGAAACAGCTGTGTTTAGGTAAGACTAGGTACATGTAAGATGAAGTGTTACATATGTACATGTCAAAGTAGTTTTTGTTGTCATGTATTTTGGACTACTCATTATTATGGTTGCAGTATTAATTCCTTTCTAAGAAATTTATTTGAAAATATCAAGTGAGTATTAATATCTGGATACCAACTTGATGTGCATTAATTTCTTACTGACACTCCTTTTTACCTGAACCTTCTGACTGTAAAGTAGTGAAAGGTGTTCCTTTTGAACTGTAAATATTGTGTCATGATAAAAACCCCATGTGTGTTTCATTGATTGTAACACGAAATTGTGATGTGTTACCCCAGGGTTCAGACATTTAATACTTTGAAACAAACATGATGAATTGAGAATATAAAGGTCAACATATTGATGCCTACTAGTCGTTTTTAAAAGTATGTAAGGTTTGTCCTCTGTAGTTCTGTCTGTCATTTGTCCTTATCAGTCTTTATGTGTATTGTAGTTGACCCTTGTATGAACCATGGAGTGTGTATTCCCATTGGTCAGTCCCAGCGATGCCACTGTCTGGCAGGGTTTACAGGTACCCTGTGTCAGACTAATATTGATGAATGCTCTCTAGCCCCATCGCTGTGTAATGGCCATGGTAAGTATATTACATTAAAAGAGGATATTATGGAAAGGCTCAATTTAAAATACTATCCTACTGAATATCATCGTATGATAAAACCACAAGAATGAGTCTTAAATTTTAAATTGTGGATATTTGAAAGATCTTGACGATAATCTCTGAAAGCCTCTTTTTTGTGAATTATATTATGATTTGATATTACTTTAAATGTATATACATCCTACTTCATTTGTGTTGGATATTCTAGTTATAATATCCTTGAATCACTCCATGTACAAAGGTCAGCTGATATATCGAAACATTGTTGTCTGGTATCCTTTTATAATGTGTGTACGTTAAAGCTTTATATTAAATGCATGGTTTCTCTTTGCTCATCTGGTTTGTAAATTTTTAAACATTACATTGGGTCATTGATGGTTTCTGTATATTAAGGTATTGTTAGCTCACATTTTATTGTATTTATCAAAGAATTATTAATAAGGCTTCCACATGTTATTATGGTTGATTGTTTGGTCATTAATTTTTGCAATCTTGTTTGAATTTTTTGAAAGGTACATGTGTTGATGGGATAGATGGCTTCAGTTGTACTTGTTCAGACCACTTTACTGGTCCTACTTGTGAGTCCGAAGTCAATCCATGTGATTCATTTCCCTGCCTAAATGGAGGACAATGTTGCCATAGAAACAAGTTATTCTGTCCTTCTGGCTTGGGTTTAGGGGAGTACCAGTGTTATTGTGATTCCTCTGCTGGCTACAGTGGTAAGTGAAATTAATCTCATTTTTTTTTATCTTCTGTAACCAGTCATTTATAAAAAAAAGATGGTATGTTTTTCTAGAATAGTTTTCAATGTTTGTATCAATTGTTTATTATACTGATATGCTGTTTTCAGATTCTTCAAATGTCCAGAAACAGTAAACTTTCAGACTCTGATGTTACGTAGCTAATATCTTTAATTCATATTTAAATCAGAGGTGTTACTGTTATACTCTGTTGTATTTGAGTGTTAAACAGTTTATACATGAGATTTACTTTACTTTGCAGGAAATCACTGTGAGTTTTCCAATCCCTGTCATAGCCAGCCATGCCAGAATGGGGGTTTGTGTACTATGTCAGGTGAACACCACATCCAATGCACATGCCCACTGACTTTTACTGGTGAGCATTGTGATATACCTCTGCCATGTGCTAGTCAGCCGTGTGTTAATGGCGCCCGCTGTGTGGGGACAGGGACAACCTATACGTGTGACTGTGGCCCCGGTCACACTGGAACTTATTGTGAGTTCAGGATCCCTTGTCATTTTAATCCTTGTCACAATGGAACTTGTGTGGTCAGTGAAGGTCAAGAGATGTGTGATTGCCCAGCTAAAACCATCGGTCAATTTTGTGAGTTTGAACATCCATGTGTAAGTCTGCCATGTAAAAATAACGGGATTTGTGAACTGATATCAACTGAAGAATTCAGTTGTACATGCACGGCTGCTTTTACTGGGAGATTGTGTGAATCTAGACTTCCCTGCTCTATTATGCCGTGTGAAAATGGCGGTACATGCATTTCTAATGGATCAACGACAGAATATGAATGTAATTGTACTCAGGAATTTACTGGTAAAAATTGTCAAAACAAAAGACAATTCCCTTGTCAGCCTACTCCTTGTTTAAATAATGCTACATGTATAGAAACATCAGACAGCTCGTTCCTATGTAATTGCCTGGAGGAATTTGCTGGAATAACTTGTGAAAATTTCTTGGAATGTTCCAAGCATCCTTGTCAAAATAATGCCACATGTTTGAATCTACCCAACAATACATATTCCTGTATTTGTCCTGAAAGCATAACAGGGCCAAAGTGTGAGACTGTGCTTCCTTGTGCAAGTCAGCCTTGCAAGAATGGTGCAACTTGTGTTAATTCAATTGACAATTCAGCATTCAACTGTAGCTGCTTTCCTGGATATACAGGACGTTTATGTGAGAGTTATGTCCCTTGTATAACTAAGCCATGTTTTAATGGTGGTACCTGTACTAACTCTGGGACATCATTTGATTGTAGCTGTATACCAACCTATGAAGGTTTACAGTGTGAGAAGTACACACCCTGTGGAGACAGTCCCTGTGAGAATTTTGGTGTGTGTAATGATATTAATGGTTCTTACAAATGTTCTTGTCCTATCAATTACACTGGTCATCACTGTGAGACTGCCATTTATCCTTGTATCAAAAACCCTTGTCAACATGGGGGCTTATGTGAGGAGTTAGGGGTGGGGCTGTATTCCTGTACATGTCAGTCAAGCTATGTTGGTCATGACTGTGAAAATTATGTGCCATGTGTCAGTGGCCCTTGTCAGAACGGGGGCACCTGCCTAAACAAAGCTGATACCTTCCAGTGCTGGTGTGTGGAAGGTTTTACTGGGGACAGCTGTGAGAGTCGTGTCCCATGTGAAGATAGCTTTTGTGTCCATGGAACTTGTGAAGAAGGAAAATGCATCTGTGATGCAGGGTACACAGGACAGTCATGTGACCTGGCTCAGAAAACATGCAGTCCTGACACCTGTATCCATGGCAGCTGTATATCAAAGAATGATCTGTACATCTGTGTTTGTAACCAGGGATATACAGGTATGCAACAGAAAAACATTACCTTGGGATATTCAGTTATCTAACTAACAGTGATTCTCATTGTCATTATTTAAATGCACAATTTATTTTTCTTGCCTAAAATTTTTCATAATTTTGTTTTTATTATGAACGTTTTCAAAAAGCTATACCAACAAGTTGTTAAGCAGTATATATGTAAAACAATTTTACTGTATCATTTGATTTCAGGCCCATTTTGTAGTCAAATCAAAGATCCTTGTTATCCTAACCCTTGTAAGAATGGTGGATATTGCCAGGTAGCTGTTGGAATGACAATACACTGGTGTCAATGCTCATCAGGTTTCACAGGTCTCCAGTGTGAAACACGCATTCTACCTTGTTACTCTCAACCCTGTTACAATGGTGGTAGCTGTGTGGACATGGTAGACAACTATAAATGTATATGTACAACAGACTTCATTGGTATGAACAATATTGTGATGATCTTTTAAATTTAAATAAAATTGATTTGTTTTGATTTCATAGAGAATTCAGTTTTCACTGTAAGAAGAAAAATAATACTAATCAAATTGTTTGGTTTTGCCCTAAACTGCTTAGCTCAACAGAAAATTAACGGTGATGTGTTTTGACAGGCAGTCGATGTGAAGAGAAGATAAGCCCATGTGACCACTCTCCTTGTCAGAATGGTGCTTATTGCAGTGAAACAGATGGAAATTTTCAGTGTATTTGTCCACCAGGATTCTCAGGTAGGTTTTACACCAATTGATACCTGGAGTTCCTAATTTCTTTGTTTTTGTATGGGAATAAAACATAAAGCAGTGTGTACATTTCAGTTTTTGTGAAAACATTAATATGCCTACCCAAATGGCATATTTCATATTGATGAAAAAATGTTCTGTTTTATTTGATGAATGAAACATAAACTATATATTGGACAATAGTGAAATCACATGCCTAAAGCTCCTGATTTGTGGATTTCTAAAATATCTGAAACATGTTTTGTGTTAATTTGATAGAGAAAGTTCCACTTCGTCATTGTAATAGGTCATGATGCAATTTGATATTAATTTTTTTGTTAATTCTGAATCATTTGTTGCATTTTAAAACAGAGACAATAAGCAACAGAGAAAATGTAGGAATATAGAAATTACTGAAAACTTCTTTTATCTGTGTATAATTGTTATACTTGTAGGGATAAGATGTGAGCTTGGTGTAAATGATTGCCAGAGCCAACCCTGTCAAAACAATGGTATTTGTAGTATCTCAAGCAGTGGAGTTGTATGTAGCTGTTCACCGCCCTACTCAGGTATATAATTTGTTTGAGTAATGGCAGTAGTAATCAGACTTGTTGAAGAATTAAAGTCATGAAATGATGTTTCATCAGCTTTTTTTTCTACTTCGTTCTTTGGGGAGAATCTCCAGCTGATTTCTAATTCTCTGTTCCATGGCTTTCACCATTGTTAGACATCTATGACATTTACCCAATCTTCTTAGGTCATCTGACCCAAAAGGTCAGGATGAACAGATGAACTCTTGCTATCATATATCATCCCTTGTCTTGTGTCGTGTGCTGTCTGTAAACTTTTCCTTTAAAACACTACTCCTGCTTAACACATGGGTGGGTTTCAACCAAATTTGATCTGAAACATCATTTGAGTTGGAGCCTCAAAAGGGTAGTTAGTCAATATTTTGCTTCAAAATGCTACTGTTCCTTAATGCTTGAATGAGTTTCATTCAAATTTTGTATGAGACATCTGTAAAGGTAAGCAATTAATTCTTAAATTCAGACAGTTGATTCAACCCCCAAGTATCTAGGGACAGGGCTCCAAATGGAGAAGTGAGTCAATATTTTGCTTCAAAATGCTACTTCTTTTTAATGCCTGGGTAGATTTCAACCAAGTTTGAACTGAAACATTATTGCAGGTGGTTTATCATTTCTGAAATCCAAAAAGTTGATTTAACCCATAGGGTCCTGGGAGCAGGGCCCAAAATGGGAAAGTTAGTCAATAACTTTGCTGCAAAAGGCTACTCTTCCTTAATACTTGATTAGATTTAAACCGAATGTGGGTTTGTGCATCCATTTATGAATTGTCAGATTAACTTTAAGGGTCATGGCCCTTTTGTTTATTTTCTTTTCACTTTTCTTTTGGATAGGGGATGGTGGGGGGGAGGGGGGTTAGATGGGATTTTTTATCGAGGATTTCTTTATTCTTCCTTTTCATGCCTAGGAGGGGGATTTTTTAATTGCAATGAACAATCACACATCCTTTAGGATTTCTTTATTCTTCCTTTTCATGCCTAGGACTAATCCTCTGCTTTGACTGACAGTCATTATAATCTGTATTCTAACACCTAATTTAATTGCAATGAACAATCACACATCCTTTATTGGCAATTGTATAGCATACACGAAGTTGCTGTTCAGATGCGATTGATGACTAATAAGAATTTCTCTAACTTTTAAAAAGTTGATATCTCTGCCAAAAAAAGCTCTCTCTGTATGATTTAAAACTAGAATGAATTCTCTCTTATCCTGTGTACTTCATTATGGTCCATATTTCCAATCTAATCTCAGAATTTACTTGTTGTTCAGGTCTGTATTGTGAGACCCTGGTGACATCCTGTGACCCAAATCCGTGTCAGAATGGTGGTCAGTGTGCTGTGGATGAGTATGGTGTCTTTTGTACATGTCCAACTGGAGTGACCGGCTGGTTCTGTCAAATTAATGGTCAGTTTGCATGAAGTAAATGTTTATAAGTTATACCATGTGACATACCATTGTGAGAGCAATAGATTTTGCTGTAAATGACAAGACATACATACTGCTTATTAATATATATAACATATTTTCCTGAATTCCCAATTTTATTTTTCTTAATTTTGTGAATATTACACAGGAAATCTCCTAGTGCTTAACATACAGGTCATGTTTTTTAACAGTTGATATATTTGTAAATTGCCAATATCTTGAAAATTACATTTTAAACTTCTCAAGGTGTGCTGGTGCAATTGTGCAGGAAATTGACAGGAAGCCATCAAAGTGTTGTTCTCAAAAGTTGAATATGGCAGCCATGGTGGCCATATTGGAAAACAATTGCAAAGTCATGGTTTCTCTGAGCAACACCTATTTTTAGCCCACCATCTATTCAAACAGATGGTGGGTTATTCAAATCGCCCTGCGTCCGTGGTCCGTGGTCTAGGCGTCCGTCCGTCCGTCCGTCCGTAAACAATTCTTGTTACCGCTATTTCTGGAAAAGTACTGGATGGATCTTTCTCAAATTTCATATGCAAGTTGTGCATTGTACCTTTTTTGAACTGACAGGTGGCCATCTTGGATTTTTGAAGTAAAAGTTTGTTACCGCTATTTCTGAGAAAGTACTAGATGGATCTTCCTCAAATTTCATATGCAGTTTCCCCTTGGTTCCTAGTTGTGCATTGTACGTTTTTTGGACTGATTCGAATTCAAGATGGCCGACAGGTGGCCATCTTTGATTTTGAATGTAAAAGTTTGTTACCGCTATTTCTTGGAAAGTACTGGATGGATCTTTCTCAAATTTCATATGCAGGTTCCTTGGTCCCTAGTTGTGCATTGTACGTTTTTTGGACTGATTCGAATTCAAGATGGCAGACAGGTGGCCATCTTGGATTTTGGAAGTAAAAGTTTGTTACTGCTATTTCTTGGAAAGTACTGGATGGATCTTTCTCAAATTTCATATGCAGTTTCCCCTTGGTCCCTAGTTGTGCATTGTACCTTTTTTGGACTGATTCGAATTCAAGATGGCAGACAGGTGGCCATCTTGGATTTTGAATGTAAAAGTTTGTTACTGCTATTTCTTGGAAAGTACTGGATGGATCTTTCCCAAATTTCATATGCAGGTTCCCTTTGGTTCCAAGTTGTGCATTATACCTTTTTGGACTGATCCGAAATCAAGATGGCTGACAGGCAGCCATCTTGGATTTTGAGAGTAAAATTTTGTTACTGCTATATCTGAGGAAGTCCAGGATGGATCCTTCTGATATTTCATAGATGTTGGTTTCCCTTGGTCCCTAGTTGTGCATTGTACCTTTTTTGGACTGATTTGAAATCAAGGTGGCCAACAGGCAGCCATCTTGGATGTCGACAGTAATACAGCACAAGCATATTGTCCATTATCCACCTGTAACTGACTGCTATCTAATAATACTTTGGGATCTTTTTCAAATGATATTTGCTAATAGGTGCTTAATAAAAATATCTTGTGCCATCATTGAGTACATTCAATGAAGACCAGTTCATGAACATTTACAACACCAGTAACAAACAAAAAAAAATCTTCAAGAACTGAAAACAGATCCTCAAATGGTGGGCGCCAAGATCCCTCTGGGATCTCTTGTATAATTGTATAATTTATATTGACAATTAGGAAGGAGAAAACAAAGTTGGAGAACCAACACTCTTGAAGTCTTAGATTGCTGTATGGTTCCTAGATGGATACCACAGGGTATTCAATAGAGATCCTTAGAATATGTAAACATAAAACAGTAAAGGAAGGATACTCAACATCCAGGAACTCTTGTATCTGTTTATTCTTAAGTTTTATTGACAATTAGTAACAGTTCCTTGACTTGATTCTTGCTTGTCAACAGCTTGCCATTTATCATCTACATTGTTATTTGTCCTACATTTATCAAACTATCAATTCTTACAATTTATACAGTACATGTATATGATTTGTTCATTTTTTGTCTAGACAACTGTGCAGCAGATATTTGTAATCATCATGGTGACTGCTGGGACAATGATGGTGAAGCTGTTTGTGATTGCCAGCCTGGGTATTCGGTATGTATACATTGTAGATTATGTAATACAATGAATGCTACATTATATTTTTGATAAAAAAATTTTTTAGTATTATATATGTGGATAAAAATATTTTTAATTTTAAAAGTTGTTTCAAAATATATTATTATGTCCATCTCCCCAGTGCTGTGAATACAATTTATTTTCCATTTCAGAATATAGTTATTTTTATCATTATTGTAATAGAAAAATTAACTTTCAGGGAGAATTTTGTGTAAAAAACATAGAGGGATGTGAGGCTGACCCCTGTGTACGGGGCACCTGTTCAGAGGATAGTAAAGGGGCATTCCAGTGCTCCTGTCCTCCAGGATTTGTAGGCACCACGTGTGAGAGACTGGATCCCTGTGGGCGTAAGTAAAATATGTGTTGTTATCACATCATTGTGTATTATATTGCCTTGCAGTCATCTCAGTTTTTTTTTTTTTTTTGTTTCTCAATCCTTTTTATTGTAAATAATCTTTTCATCCATCAAAAGGAAAACCTTGATTCACTTAGGCAAGTTATTGATGTGTTCAATTCCTCCAGAGCAACTAAATTACAATTCCCAATGATATTCTCTCAGCGAGTTTTATATGACTGTATATCATATAAAGCATATTTCTGACAAATGACCGACAGACTTTTCTAGAAATGCTTATTCAAATTTGAAGGTTAATCTTGTAGTGCTTGCTTGTTACATGTTTTTTATTGATAGTTTGACACCTTGTTTTCTTTCAAGTTTTGCCGATATCACCAAAATTATCACTAAAAAAATGTTTTTGTTATCACCCCAAGATATATGTATTAAGTTATGGATAAAAAAGGTACTGACTGACAGATAACACTGTGGTATGTTTATAATTACTCACTAGCACACCTCGATCGGTCCATCTGTCAGAATGGTGGAAACTGTCTGGTTGTAAAGGATGAATATCGTTGCATGTGTCCACCAGGGTTCAAAGGTCAACACTGCGAGTTGGCCTATCATGCATGTTCTGGGTCAGCTACACTTTGTCAAAATGGTGGCATTTGTGTATTCAATGTGTCTGCTATACTTTCCTTCACATGTACATGTACACAAGGTAGGTTTAGGATGATAGAACATCGTGTTTAATGTACAAATCAGCAGCTCTCAAAAACATGAGAGGAATATCTTTGTGAATGAATTTTACGTGGTCTTTACACTGCCATAATATAATGTTAATTACACGATTTACTGTGAATGAATGGGAGTGAGTGATTGGTTCTATTGTATCTAATTCTAAATTTTTGTTGAAAGGTGCATTTCAATTATGTATTTGTTTTTGTACAATCTTCAGTCTGGCAGAGAGGTTGGGGGGACCATGGATGGGAGAATAGGGTGGATAAGGGAGAATTTCATAGCTACACTGATGCACAGTTTCCAGCACAACTCAGCTGGTTGTGAACTGGTGCACAGTGCTGGTAAAGCAGAATTCATACACTATTTTCCACCATCATTTCTTGGTTGCTTGGTGCACCTGCTTCAGTAGGTTATGATTAACAGTCCCCATTAATCATGGTTCCATGGGGCAGTTAGTCATTGTGAATGGTCTGTAAAGTGTCCCCTAAAAATTTAGTGATAATCTCCCCCTGGATACTTTTGTCCTCTTCCCCTCTAGATATTGTTCAGATGGCCTTTCTATAGTATATAGTCATAATATCATTAATTGCCCAAAATTGTTGTTTCTTGTTTTCCCTATAAGGATTTAGTTAAATGTATAGCATTTATAATATATGTATAATGCTAAATAAATCCTGATGATTGTCTAACATATGTAAAGATATTAAGAGTGATTTTGAACCACAGAACATATGATCTTGAAATAAAACTAGTTCAAAAATATCAAATACATACTTATATATGCTCAGAAATTTTCTTTTATATTAAGCTCTGGGCAATTTCAAGAATAATTTTATTGGAATTGTTACTTTTCATAATATTCAGCAACACTTTAATATTACCATTTTATACTCAGCAGTTGAAGAATAATTAATACAAGAATCAATTAATTAAAAATATTGATGTTGTGGTTCATCTTGAATAAAAGAAAAGTCCAATTTAGTATCATAAACTGTTACAATATTTTATATCTAAGATTCAGAATCAGGTGTCTGAAGTGCACATCCTGACATGTTAAAATTGATTTTAATCAATTTATTGTTAACCATAGATCAGTTTTTAAAGGTGACAAATATATGTTAAGAAAATTTTATATTTTCAACTAATTGATCGTTCATTCGTGACATCATTTCATGCAAATGAAAGGTGTACTGTTATCCCTTCATGATCAGCTAGTTGCCTCCAAGATAGTCGTTTAGTATTCATAATAATATAGAATGTACACCTGACTAGACACCTGAGTTTTCTGCACCATCACTGACTATAGCTGTTAGGTAATCAGTTACCTTGACATTTTTAGAAGAAACTCTGGTGTATCTATGGCCTAGTGACTTGTTGCTAACCTAGTAATATTCATCATATAGGATTGTAAAATTGTGAATAAAAATTTTATGTTAGGGGAAATTTAAAAATGTATCCATAGAGTACTTTTATGATATAGGGAAAAGTCCTTTTAGGATGGGGATACAAATATGATGTTACATCAGGCAACTACTGATTGACAGCCATCATAACCAGGGACCACCATCTAAACTCTCGCTCTGCCACGATGGAATTCCTTTCTTCATTCAGCATTTGATAGCTGCTGAAGAAGATTAGTCACTAGCCCCTCATTCTGTCAGACAGATTGACACTCCATTACTGGAAACTTTATCACTGGTTTATATTGACTGCAGAGATTTCTCTCAAACAAAGTGTTGTGAGTGAGTTATTACAGTCAGCAGTATGATCCTACATGAAATCAGTACCAGAGACAATGCCTTAGACAATAACTTATGTTAGGTATGGCATGGTCTCTTACGGACAGATGATATAATTATTAGAATGATGGGAGAAACAGAGGTTCTCTATGAATCAGTAACAACATATTATATGAGCCTGATATTTAGTCTGTAGTAGAGGCTAATTTAGAGATAATCAGTTATGTAAAAAACAATTTTGTAGATTTCCACACAGTAAGTAATGTACCATAAAACAATTGCATTAATTTTATGAACAATTTGTGTAAATAACAAGTTGCATTAACCTGTGTCTTATATATAAAGTTAATCACATCAGTTATCTATGTTTTTGTTTTTTCACAGATTACACAGGAAGGTATTGTGAAACACCATCTGAGTGAAAAAACACATGATGGAACCTTCAAGTTAGTCAAAGAAGAGGGTTGAAAACATTTCATTCTAAGAAAATTTGTTATTAGTCTAGGAAGAAGAACTGGTGTTAGGCAATGAGATAAAAATAATGTTGGAAAAGAAAGAATGTTGTCAGTTAAGGAAGAATGTTGTTTGTTACATAATAAAGAATTTTTAAGTTAAAGTTACAATAGCAATGTTTGCAAAGAAATGTATTCACTTGTCCACCAAAGGAGAAAGAATGTTATGAGGAAAGGAAAAAAAAGAATGCTTTTAAAGGACATTCTTTAAGGTTCATGTACATTGAATAGATAGTGTTATATCCCAACTTCCCAGAAAATGTGACTTTTCGATGACTACGTTGTCACTTTCAAAAGACAGCAAACAAATGACCATTGTGAAGCATAATGGCACTAAAACTTTCCATATGTACGGTAGGTGGAAACAATAGTCCCAGTCAGTTATATGATTTTACTCTGTCCCAGTCAGTTATATGATTTTACTCTGTCCCAGTCAGTTACATGATTTTACTGTGTCCCAGTCAGTTATATGATTTTACTCTGTCCCAGTCAGTTACATGATTTTACTCTGTCCCAGTCAGTTATATGATTTTACTCTGTCCCAGTCAGTTACATGATTTTACTGTGTCCCAGTCAGTTATATGATTTTACTCTGTCCCAGTCAGTTACATGATTTTACTCTGTCCCAGACAGTTATATGATTTTTACTCTGTCCCAGTCAGTTACATGATTTTACTGTGTCCCAGTCAGTTATATGATTTTACTCTGTCCCAGTCAGTTACATGATTTTACTCTGTCCCAGTCAGTTATATGATTTAACTCTGTCCCAGTCAGTTACATGATTTTACTCTGTCCCAGTCAGTTACATGATTTTACTCTGTCCCAGTCAGTTACATGATTTAACTCTGTCCCAGTCAGTTATATGATTTTACTCTGTCCCAGTCAGTTATATGATTTTACTCTGTCCCAGTCAGTTACATGATTTTATTGTGTCCCAGTCAGTTATATGATTTTACTCTGTCCCAGTCAGTTACATGATTTTACTCTGTCCCAGTCAGTTATATGATTTTACTCTGTCCCAGTCAGTTATATGATTTTACTCTGTCCCAGTCAGTTATATGATTTTACTCTGTCCCAGTCAGTTACATGATTTTATTGTGTCCCAGTCAGTTATATGATTTTACTCTGTCCCAGTCAGTTATATGATTTTACTCTGTCCCAGTCAGTTATATGATTTTTACTCTGTCCCAGTCAGTTATATGATTTTACTCTGTCCCAGTCAGTTATATGATTTAACTCTGTCCCAGTCAGTTATATGATTTTACTCTGTCCCAGTCAGTTATATGATTTTTACTCTGTCCCAGTCAGTTATATGATTTTACTCTGTCCCAGTCAGTTATATGATTTAACTCTGTCCCAGTCAGTTATATGATTTTACTCTGTCCCAGTCAGTTATATGATTTTTACTCTGTCCCAGTCAGTTATATGATTTTACTCTGTCCCAGTCAGTTATATGATTTTACTCTGTCCCAGTCAGTTATATGATTTTACTCTGTCCCAGTCAGTTATATGATTTAACTCTGTCCCAGTCAGTTATATGATTTTACTCTGTCCCAGTCAGTTATATGATTTTACTCTGTCCCAGTCAGTTACATGATTTTATTGTGTCCCAGTCAGTTATATGATTTTACTCTGTCCCAGTCAGTTATATGATTTAACTCTGTCCCAGTCAGTTATATGATTTTACTCTGTCCCAGTCAGTTACATGATTTTACTCTGTCCCAGTCAGTTATATGATTTAACTCTGTCCCAGTCAGTTATATGATTTTACTCTGTCCCAGTCAGTTATATGATTTTATTCTGTTACATGATCTTTTAGTGCCGATTTGTTGATCTAGGACTCTGATTGTTTCCACTTAATTTCCTGCCCTCAGTGTCTTTCTGGTGTTATCCGAGTCTGATTACAAATCTCTCTCCTACTTCTCAGAAGAATGATGCATTTCAGTAGTTGTAAAACCATGAGCAGAATGATTTGTCCTTGATACTCCAGGGGTTACAAACACTTCTGCTCTTTCCACCTGTGGCACATTTTCATGTTGGAATAATACATTATAATTCATTTCACACTTGCAATAGGTTCCCAAAAGAGTACCCACACATTACCAGAATTCAGCAGTTCATTTTGGATGTATGTGTGACTACAGGGGCTATATGATGGACAAGGTTATTATGGAGAATCTTGTGAGATTTTATTGCAGATGCAATGCTATTGCAGGGATATATTATCTGAATGGTTTTGATCACCCTTATAGGACAAAACTTCTTGTCCTTTCATCTTATTCTTTTCATGGATGTCTTTTCTTTTGTCATTTCTTTCCTTTGTTCACCCTCTGAATTGCCCAACAAGGATGTCCACATGTGTTCATATTGCCATGGATGTGAATTTACCTGTTTCTGTCATATTGTTCCATAATATTTCCATTGCGTATATTGAGCAACACCCATGCAATGCTTCTAGTGTAAGGGATGACAAGTCTAGTATTGGTCTATGTGTGTCTTATCCCTAAAAACCATCATCTTTCTTAACAAGAAGGCTGGGGTAGGACATAGTGCCACTGACTTTTTCCTTGCATATGAATATTGTACTGTTGGCAGTGTAATCTTTCTGTGTCCATTTCTTGACTGTCTCCATAATGTTATCAGCATATCGTTTTCACAGGTTAGACTTGCACTCTGTTGTATCTACAGTATGAGCACTCTGTTGTAACTACAGTATGAGCACTCTATTGTACCTACAGTATGGTAGATTACAAAGTCGACCTGTCACTTCTCCCACTACTTTCCACCTTAATGTACATAAAGTTATACGACAGCCAGTTCTAATTTCATTATCATCTCATACACTCAGTGCAAATATATTTCACACTAGTGATCTTTTTCTATAGAGGACAATGTAGTCATCGAAATGTCACATATGAATTAACAAACAGGTTTTGATGTAAGAATATCAACTTAAGAAAGAATGCTGATTGAACTGCAAATCTTGAATTATTTAGATATATATTTCTGTGCCAGTACAGGCATGATTTTTAAGCATCTAATGACACATAGTTTTTACCCTTATATGATGTAT